CGAGTCTTCGGTCGGATGCATAGAAGATTACACTCAATTCCTACAAATGACTAGGCTTGGCAAGAGCAATTGAAGGCGCTTTCGTGATTACAATCAACCAATTGAGAATTTAGATTTAGAAGAAATTGAATACAAGTAGAAGGGAAGACCTTTGTTAAGGCGATGTGAAGATCTTCCAATCAAGGCCTTCGTCATGCTCGTTGATGGCTTCCGTTAGAACGCACAAGATGCCATCCACGTCCTCTTCAATAGTATGGTCAATCTCTTTCTCCTTGGTGATGTACTCAGATATCTTGATAAGAAAGAAGCTTCTCTTGCCTTGTGGGGGGAAAGGACCAAACGCTGAAATCTGAAATTGGTTTCAGATTCTTGTAAATAGATTATGGAAATTTTGTAGAGAAGTGCCAAGATGATCCGTGGAAAATTCAGCCAGCAGCAGGTAATGGCTTTCAACGCTTCTCACAAGGAGATCAAGCACTACAGAGGGATTTCTAAGGAAATCCAAATAGGGAGGTTGGCTGTTACGGGAGAGAGGAGAAGTCCAGAAATTTATTTCCTAAATTAAAATGAGAATATAGGAAATATTAAAGAGGTGGGGCTTGAGGAAAAATCGGCTCAGGTTTAGGAGTTTTGGGAAATATTTCCATAGGCAGTGAATGGAGTTAGGAAATAAATATTAAGTGGTCCCCCATAGAGAGCTGGCGGGATTTCTGATCACGGGAATATTAAGGAGGGATAATAAAGTGTATTAACTCAGGTTTTATATTTAGGAAAGGCTTAATTAAAATCCAATTGAATTTTGAATTTCAAATTAGATTAAAATAGAAGCTCCCCTAAATTAGATGAGTTGTTTTAGGCAGGATTTTGAAATTCAAATTCAAGGACTTGAAATTCAAAATTATCCCAAATCTCCTCACACCCAAGTAGGAAACTCATAAGGGGAAAGCGCTTGAATGTGGCCGGCGGCTAAAATCTATGGCCGGCGGTTTGGGCTCGGGTGGAGGGAGGATAGTGGTTCGGGTGAAGATCGTGGGGAAGGATATTGGCGGTGGTCTTGAGGGAAGAAGAAGGCTCGGGTGGAGAGGTTGGCGGATTAGGTGATGGGGAAGTCAAAGCAATCAAGTAAGAAAACGAACCACGAACCCGGCCGTCTCCAAGGTTGGTGAGTAGTGCGCAAATCTCCCTCTCCTAGGGATCTCTCTCCATTAGAACTCACAAGTTCTCACAATGCTCCAAGCAAGAAGACAAAATTCTCAAATAATCATTCATTGCCTTGAAATAAAACAAAGGGGCTTTAAATAGCCTCATACAAAGGACTCTAACTGACATGACACAAATGCCCTTAGGCTTACACATGACCACTCCCATACAAAAGGGTACAAAGGGAAAATAAATAAACACACATAAGCAAATAATAAAATGCATGAAAATAAAATACATCGACTCAAAAATATAACGAATCGATCGTGGCCGTAGATTGGCGGCCACGTCGCTGGTAAACTTTCCATGATGATCTGATGTCCTTATCATTACAAGTGTAGTTGGGATAAAAGGGTTCTCAAATATGAGACTATATTGTAAGTGGGGCAAAAGGAACCCCAAAATAATAAGACCTGCATAGCATGTGGAGCAAAAGAGACCCCTAAAGAGGTAAAAGGGATCTCTATGTTATTCAATGGCGATAATGTCAGGTTTACCTTGACTCCATTAAATATGTATATGAAAAAGCAGCCAAATCTTTTAATGAGTAAAATTGATATTCAGTATGGATCGAAGAGAAAATAAAGGTTAAAAATCAAATGAGATTTTATGAAATTGTCTTTAGTAGTTTATCTTTTATTTATGTTTTTAATGATCAGGATTTTATACTCATGCAAGTTAAATGTATTTTAATTTTGCATAGTTTATTGATCCCCATAGCTCACCAGTATTTTCTTACTGGCTATTGAAAAAGAAAAAGTGAAAGAAGACTAAGTTGCAAGTATTTAAATCAATTATATATTAATGTTTATCTTAGTTATGAATTCTACTATGGAGGTTAGTAAGCAATTAGATGTTACATTACTTTGAACTTATTTGAATTTCCTTAGTGGCTCTGTAAATATGTCTTTGTGAGAATATTTAATTTATTAGATGCTTCAGTTTAATGAGATGAATGATAACTGTTAGATGTTTTATAAAGACTTCCAAATGTTTCAAAAGTATCATATGATGTATTGATTTAATTATAAAAATATTATGTTTATATTAGTAATACTCTATGTACTGTTAAGGGGTACTGTGGGGTATTACATTCTTCTTATGCAAATGGAGTATAAGTAAGGCATTTTAATACTTATAGGAGCACAGCTTCGTCAATGCATAAATAAACAAGTTTTTATAAAATCCGATTTGCTCAACAGCATTGAGCCCCATGAGCATTGCAAGAGAAATTTTACTCTAACCTAGCTTTAGAAAATAAAGCAGAAAACTGTAAAAGAGTCTCATACCGCTTTCTTGTATGGCCTTCTGTATTCAGAACCATCAATTGGATTGAACGGTATGAGATTGACATGTGAACCACGGCTATAGCATTGGAGAAGCTCAGCGAGCTCTACCGCATGTTCTACCGCATCATTTGTTCCAGCTAAGAAACAAAGAAACGTTAAAAAATCAAGACTAAGGCTTTGTTCGGGACAGCTTTTTTTCTGCTTCTTAAAGTAGCTTTTTAGTAAAAAAATTTTCTTTATACTTCTTAAAGCAGCTTTCTAGTACAAAAATTAAAATTTTTGTGCTATAAAGTTTAATTTTTGTACCAGAAAGCTGCTTTAAGAATTAGAAAAAAAGCCGTCTCAAATGTAGACAAGGCTTTATTTGGGACAGCTTTCTTACTGATTTCTAAAACAGCTTTCTAGTATAAAAATTTCTAGATTTGAACTAAAAATCTACTTTAAAAAGCAATAATAAAACGGTCTCAAATGAAACCTGAATGTGAATTTGAATGGTTTGGCTTTTTGTACTAATAAGGATTATGAAAAACAGTGCTAATTCACCTAAGAGTGTATACTCGAAAGACACCCTCCTTCCAGTTTCCATGAAATACTCCTTGCAATCATGCATAAGTGCATCCAATGGGTAGGATTTCGCACTCGGAATAATTTCCTCACGTATCTTTTGGTTAGGAGCATGGAGGCTGAAACAAGATAATGCAGGTGTAAGAATTTTTCTTTAAAATGAATTTTGTGATGTTAGACAATATAAATAATTCATTCTCACCCCTCCACGCACCCAAAAGTAATAATATAAGTCACATGAAAACAAGCAAAGAAATGACAAAATCCCACACCATAGATTTTTTGCTGATGTAAATTACATAAGTTATAATTTGTTGGTGTGTATTCACCTGACAGCCAAAGTTGACTGAAGTTTGTGTGAAGCCAACATCTTGATTGTGTTCGGCACACCAACAGTGGATATGGTCATCATTCTTTGCCCAATTTGTATATCCTACACAACCATAAGGAAAAATAGAACTTGATGATGCTTAAACATGCATAGTAATCAACAACCATGAAATCATTTAAAAAACGACCATATAACTTGTCAGACATTATGTGTAAAAAATGTACTCGTCTACTGAATCATTGGTGGGAAAAAATGATCTATTAAGCTCATTGATGAATTCTGAAAATATAAACTTGTCAAAAACAAAAAGTGAACACAAATTGCGTTGTATTTAAGTTCATGTCCGTGTTTCCTTTTATTTTATGTTAAACAAGATGTTAGACCGGTCAATTGGACTGGTCCAGCCGATTCGACGGGATCAGCTTACGCGAACAGAGGCGGACACTTCCGCCTCCTGTACGCACCGAATGCACGCCCAGGCGTGCGTTAGCTGTTTAAGAAGAATTTTTGAGGAAGTTAGGAGGGAAATTTGAATGGAGGGACTGTTTAGGGATTTCCTTTTGATTTGTATGTATTAAATAGTTTGTTTTCTTAGGGTTATGGCATCTTGAATTTGGCTGAAATTTGAGATCTCATATCTTTGGGCTCTAGCGGCATCTCGAGATTTTTGAGAGATCGATACTCCTCTCGAATAGAGGATCAATTGTATCTTGTTAGTTTTTCTTCCGTTAGTAGGCTGTTTTCTTTGATTTTTCCTCTACTTGTTGAGTATTCTCACTGATTTTGATAGGATCGTTAGGTTTCACTTGAGATCTTCAAGCGTTTCCTATGACAAGCCTATCATATTGATCCTAAGATCAGATTAAGTTCTCCAATATTTTGACATCCACTTCAAACTTGGGGGCCAAATTCAATCAGCATCGTAAACAATTCAGATTTCAACTTTCAAGGTTTTTTATTCTTCTGGATTTCCCTTATAAATGCATGCGTTTGAGCTTGCCACTCTATTTTTACAGCTCCAAAACAGTTCCTTAGGCTCCTGCTATTGCTGCTACACTACAATCCTGCAACTTATGCTTCCTATCAAACTATTGCTAATGCTGAAGTCCCAAAATTGTGCTTCACGCCAGCCTCTAACGTTGCTATTTAGAATAGTCCTAAACCCCCTTTGCCACAGATTACTGAATCTTGAGTTTACTACAGTTGGTTTTCGGGTTTGGATGAATTCTTGTGAAAAACAAGAAAACTAAAGCTGATTACAAGTGTTTATGTCCTGGGAAAACTGAAAGTTGCTAATTTTGACTTGAGTTTGAAGGATTATGTACAGTATTGTACATTTCCAGACCTTTGTGGGCTATAAATATGACCACTAAGGCATGTAAAAAATAAAATAGTGAGCACCTGAATATTGCAATAAAATTTCAATATACTTCAATTCTTGTGTATGTGCTAGTCGGGTAATCATTCTTTGAGTGCTTCATAGTTCATATATTTTAATGACCACTTTCGGAAAAGGCTCACCATGTGCCCAACTTGAAACCTAGTTCTTTCTTTTTGAGTGATTTCTATCATTATTCTTGCTCTTAATTTGTTTGGCCACCAATGTGTGATTAAAATTTTGTCAAATGTGATACATAATACATTCCATTTCACAGCGTAAAACTTGATCATTACTAAAATTTTAAATCCTCACATTTTTTGTGAGGAATCAATTTTTGGCTACTATTAGATTATCATTTGGAATGAAAAAAAAAAAAAGTTTTTGCTATTCAGTGTCTGTTGATGTATAGAATGAATAAAATTTAAATCACCTATATGGTTAATATCTTACAAGAAAGTATATAAAGCCCATTGAAACAATTCAAAAAAACCAGCAATCCGGTTGAGCAGGCAGGAATAGAGGTGGCGTTGGCGGCACAGTAACGATATTGGATTCCGAAATAGGAAAATTTTCTTTGCATGATCTAGTAAGAATTTCACTAAACAGTTCAAATTCATAAAGCTAAAAAATCTAAAAAATATCACAAATTCTGTTCATCTAAATTCAAATTGAACATGCAAATAAAAGATGATAGAACAAGAAAAATAAAAAAGAAGCTTATGATACACCTTATTCAAGCACCTGTGAGCTTCCAAGACTGACTTCAGGTTCAACATTGGCTCACCCATTCCCATAAACACAACATTTGTAACCCTATGCTTGAAAATCTCCTCAATCGCCATCACCTAAAAGCCATGTGCAATATGACTGAACACACAGTTTCTTCAAGATCAACCTAGGAGTCAGATGCCAGAGTTTCAGAAGTATACCTGCTCAACAATTTCATGCCGAAGAAGGTTCCTTGAATAACCACCCTTACCGGTGGCACAAAATGAGCACCGCAAGGGACAGCCAACCTGCATATTTAAAGCCCAATAAACAGAAATGGATGAAATATAAATCTACTAATAATAGTCATGATGTTACAAAACAAGTACTGATAAGTTGGCCGCCAATAGAGCAAATATAGATGGAACTAAACCAATGAAGGAACGATACTTCTCAACCTAATTAGAAGATATACCTGCGACGATACGCAGGCAGTGAGACGAAAAGAACCTTTATCATCTTCAACTGGTATCCCAACAGCTTCTATTAATCTGTTATCTTCTAATCTGATAAGTATCTGCAAGATAATTGCATAAATAACATGATAAAAACCTTACCTCTGAAGAGTGACGACGCTAGAATTCAATAGAAAAACCAATAAGCAGAAAAAACAAAAGAAACCACAACATTTTTTCAAGAGAACGTAATTGTAAAACATAGATATAACTATTTATGCTGTTCAAACGTTTTAGATTTTTCCCTAGGGAATTAGGGATTGAAATTTCCTGTTTATTCCTTACACATTATGAGTTACATAATAAAGATGAAACACAACAAAAGATTAACTACTTGAATTCTCTTATGTAAAAAGTTCCATTAATATTCTACTATTTGTTTTATATCAAGGAAAATATAGACAACTTTGTGGGATATCATCAAGCCTGCATCATGACAAGAGCTTATAGCTTTATAGGTCCAGGATATTGGCATAAATTGAAAGGTACATCATATTATGGTCAGGAGAATGCAACAACTCATACAGCTACATGTCCTGTAGGGATGAATTGTACGCACATGAAAATTACCAAGTTACAAAGGAGTCCACTTGCAAATGTGCCAAGTGAACTCTAGCTCCTCAATGGGATCTTCAATTTCTATCAGGAGAGCCTGTTGCTGTAGATAGTAACCATTTTGTATCATAGTGACCATCTTTTATCATGTGCTACTTGTAATCAAAGTTTCTTCTATTAAGATAAAAAAAAAAGGGTTGAATCACCACATCATAGAGAACAAACTAACAAGTCTCAATAAAATCAACCAATAAGCCATCACTAGATTTGCCTGATGCATGATTAGAAAAGACACAAAACCATGATTCCAATAGACTTTAGGATAATCAAACCATCCAAACCCTCCAATAAGATACACAATTTACAGGTTATGCTAAACTTTGCTACCTGAGGCCTTTCATATGGACAGAAAAAAAAAAAGTTATGTCAATAACTTCTTTAATTTGGAATAAAATGTTGATACCTACTATTTGAGGCCAAGTTTTCTAATAAGTTAGTTGTGTTTCATCCAAATTGAACAGATACTTTAAGACAGCTTCACACAATTCAATTGTAAATGCCAATCTCCATGTCACTATATGTGCTTTAGAGGGCTGTATTTTAATTTAAAATTTTAATAGGCTTTAACTCAAAGCCAGCCTGCTTTCTGTGCATGCATTATTGTTCAGTGTTTCATTTGGTCCATTCTGTCTTCACCTTTATGCACTGAAGTCCTTAATAATTTTTTTAAAAAAACTACAAATATGTCGTTTTTTATAATGGTGGCATCAACTTAACTGATCACCAAACTCAAAAGGACTTTGTCAGCACACTTTTCTTACACCCGACCAGCAACAAACTTATGTGGCACTTTACTTCTCCTATTAAGAATCTATTATGGCACAATGAACCAGAAAAGTGATGAGGAATTCTCTTTCTATTCCCATCTATGGCTTCTCACTTCATAGGTATAACTATCAGAGGGCCTGCTTTCTATAGATTTTGATTTCAAGGGATTGTATCAATCAACAGGCCTTTGCCTTCAACGGCTTCCTTCTTCAACGGAAAGTAGCTGTTTTCAACCTTGACAAGCTTTTCAATTTGCTTTCCAATTAAGTTCATATATATATATTTTTTTAAATATACAACTTGAAACTGAATGTCATAAATGATTGCACTTTTATAAGAGTAATGCTTCACCCACCTAATATATAAAATGTTTAAAACAGCCTCCCTTAATTAATTTTCTGTGGTGGATAGTTATGAATAAGCATTTAGTTTTCTGTTGGTCCCATTGATGTACAAATCAATCTGCAAATCCTGTAACCTAATAATCTCCACTCGTCCTGTGATATATATGGCTAAATTATAAGAACCAAATCATTATTCTCACTACGCAATAATGATATCGTTTACATTAGGAAAAAAACTAATCCAAATCAACAAAATGATCTCATCAATAATTCAAGAATACCTTAACAGTGCCATCAGATGCGGTGACAGCTCGGTGTATGGGTGATCTTCCAACTCTCCACCCAGCTTCACGCAGCTCTTCCCGAAACACTTGAGGCACTGTCGTAATTCCCAACAAACAAAAGTCAAATGATGATTTTACTATATTCTGTTGTTTGATTGGCTTCCGGTCTTCCGGAAGCAATCGTTATTTGTTATTTGTCTTAACCTCTATTATTACCTTCAAAATTCATTAGATGTGATTTCATTTTCGCAAACTAAAAAAGACAAATTTATCAATATCACAAACATGTCTTCTGTCCACTATCAAGTATCAACCAAATGAGCAATAGGTCAAACAGAGGAAACATGAATCGAATACATCGTTATACTCACAGTGGCTGAAGTCTTGGATTTCTTTAGCCCTAGTCTTGTACAGGAGATCATGGAGCTGCTTTCCTCTATAGCTTTTCTAAAACATTTTTTGCCAACCCACAAAAAGGTAAAAGAATGACTATTTTAAGAAAAAAACAGCAGACTAGGCTTTGAAGGGGAAAAAATGAAAAGGAAGATCTTCTACAAGAGATGGTTCACCTGGCCATAATCTAGGGCAAGCTGACGAAGCTCCGATTCCGACATGCCAATGAGGAAGCGAGAATCCGTCTTACGAAGCCTCGGCACCACCATCGGCGGCGAGGCGATGGCGGCGGCGGCGGCCATGGAAATGTGGGGCCGCAACGAGCGTGCAATAGAAGCTGAACAACCTTGCTGCAGCACCGCCATGGATTAGTCGGTCACTAAACCTACCATCTGCTTCTCGTCTTCCTCTACGATAGGATTTCGACAAACGCAGGGTCGAGGATATTTATTTTGAGCTCGATTGTGAATGTTGTGTTTTATAGTTTCATCTGAATTCTTTCATTCTCCTATTTAAGTTTGAATTCTAATTAGATATTTTAATTTTGACACATTGAGCATCATGCAGCATTTTCGTGTGAGATATATTAAAGTATAGATCATATATGGGATATTAACCAATGAAATTGTACAAAATGGCATATACAATAACTATATTAACTTGAACACCCAATGAAAATTGTCATATATACGTCAAAACTTGAAAATATTCCTTCCAAATCTCAGAAGTTCTCTCAACAACATTGCGTAGTTATGTGTTTCGGTCATTAAATAACTCTTGATCAACTACATATATCCTAGATGTACTTCCACGATAATTATCCAAGTGATATCTATATCCCGGAAATGGTACAGTTAATTTATCAGTATTGACATAACCAGAATCTACAAAGTAATAACTATTACAGGGTATTCCAAATTGTCCTTGCTCCACAACCTGTTTAAGAATACGATGTTCGCAGTAGATCCCTCCCATCCAGATGTTACATATAAAAACTGTCGATCGAATGACACTGCAACCATTACATTCTGTGAAGTAAAACCTTAACAATTTTGTAAATTATTACTAACTACTGCACGAATATGTATCATTAATTGCTCCGACTGCATTTTTGAAGTAAAGGTAAATTATTCATTTACACACACAAAATGATGACATTCTGAATATGGTTGGGGCAATTTTATAAATTCATCCGCCAAAGACACAATTGCACACAGAACCTGATTGAATTACAATAATAGGAAAAAATGCATAACGTCTATTACAGAGAATTGCAACAAATGAGTGAGGAAACGTCAAATCTACTACAACCAAGCTTTGGATGCATAAAAAACATGAATGAGAGCTAATGATATATTTAATCAACTCTTTAAGAATTTCACCATCTTATGTCACAAAAATTGTTTTGTTATTTTTATTCTCCTTCAACAAATATTGAATTGCTAACAGTGCTTGTGTAGTCAAGTTTTCCAAGCTACTTAAGTTGACAAAATAGTTGGTAATTGTGTATGGTTCACTTTTTTTTTTCCACGGTTTCCTTAAAGAAAACATCATTTTTATTTTACCCCACCAATAACTTATTTAGATTGTCTAATCCCCTTTTTTCTTTGGGCGCCTTACAGGTTTGCATGTTTCACCACTAGATCGCTTCGACCAAAACATTAGATTCAGAACAAGTTGAAAGTTAGGAGTCACATCACCCATTGCATCAGGTAGGTTGATGTTCAGGGTTCCTTCAAGGTCATGGATTTCATCATTAGCAGTCAAAAACTCATCTTTAAATTGTGGTACATCGGCATCCTCTAAGTTTACTATAGTGGTTATTGTCTTATTGGATATGGCGCTAGTGTCAGCAACAATGTTCTCAGCACATATCTTTTCAAAAATGTCATATTGGTGGAAAGGATGTCAACGAAAGTGGATAAGCTTTGGATTCACATACAATTTCATTTTAAAAATGGATCTTTTAATTGGGTTGGTATAACATGAGAACTACTTAAGCAAAAGACCAATACCTGACCAATCTCTTCCCATAACTCGTCATTCGCAATTGAAATGTGTAACTCCTCATCCCAACCCCAACCGCTCCAATTTATTAATTGATATAGTATTCAGAAGTCTACTTTCATATTGTTTAATCTTATCATTATAGAAGATTCAGTGTGCGACGAGAAAACCTTGCCCGCGACTGCTGCCGAAGTCGTATCAAAGAGGAAGACACGCGATTAGGGGAGAAGAAGAATCAGAGAGAAAGATGTGGTAGACGAGAGCGATGCTTCCAACAAGATAAGGGCATTCGCACAACTCCACGACACGGGCGCTGCGGGAGAGACTTCTCGCGAGGATAAATCGCATTAAATTCGTCGAACTGAGATAATTACTAAATCCCATATTTACACAGTAAATTCAGGATTTACATAGGAACGAGATTTACGAAGCGCTTGAAAACTATTTGGCAGACTTTGCTATAAATCCAGCGTAAATATGATATCAAACAACCACTTAGGCTATTAGTTTTGTATGAAATCTGATTATGCTCATCAATCAGATTGTTATGTTGCCTCGAACCTTAGTTCAAATTATCGTGCTCGTTAGGGGCGGGTTTTACCACTTGTTTGGGTTCAGGTGCTTTCACTTGAATTTTTTTCATACAACACATTGGCGTTGTGTACCTAAACCCCCCAATGCTAATAAAAAGATAGCATAACGCCATAATGCTCTAGATTCAGCATCGCATGTGCTGCGTGACGCCACAGCACTGTGGGTTTGAGAGTAGCAACATCATGATGACATAGGCTTGAGCGCTACTTCACTCCAAATTGGCATCTTAAACACTGCGAGGCAAACTATATAGTTTTCTTTTTCATTTTTCTGAATGGTTGCATCCCCTGATTTTATTAACTTGTCTTTCTCTTGTGTTTAGAGTGAGAGAACTATGAGAGTGGGCAAAGAAGAAGAGAGAGAGAGAGAGAGAGAGAGAGAGAGAGAGAGAGAGAGAGAGATCTGTACTTTCTTCCCATTTTCATAATGAATTCTTAGTGTTGCATAGCTCCATGATTTTTTCTTGATTTCAAGTTTTCCCACGTTAAATCATGGTGTCTTTTACTTTCCACTCCTCATCCCCAACATAAGCGAGAAGCCATTTTAGCTCAAATGTTTTCATGCGTATTTATTTAATAATTTTGTTAATATTATTTTGTATTAATGCAAAAATTATAATGTCAAAAAAAAATATAACACACAAAAAATTTGCAAGCTAAATTGTTGTTTAGGTGAGCTCAGCTGACCCTTTTTTTATCATATGTATTATCAATATTTTAAAGCTTATTTATTAGTTTTTTTAATTGAAAGTTTTATTTTATTTATAAAAATTGTATACTTCATTTAATTAAAAATTATTATATTATTAAAGGCATAAACATAACATGGTCATGTTCATCAAATTATTATCCAAATTTTGAAAAATTTGTCATTATTAATAACTAAGAGCAAGTTTGTATTAATGAACCTATGCTTGATATGTGATAGTCTTTATCATTCAATTACATTCATACAATTACATCAAAGAGATTAAGGCTTCTTTTGGGACAGCTTTCTTATTGCATCTTAAAGCAATTCTTTAGTACAAAAAAAATTTGTATTTATTTTTTACTAAAAAGCTGATTTAAAAAGTAGTAAAAAATTTGTCCTGAACGAAGCCTAGCCTAGGCTTCGTTAGGGATGACTTTTTTATTGCTTCTTAAAACGAAATTTTAGTTAAAAAAATTTAATTTTTGCACTAAAACTCTATTTTAAGAAGCAATAAAAAGCCCCTAAAGCTTCATTTGGGACGACTTCCTTACTATTTTTTAAAATAATTTTCTAGTACAAAAAGTTATACTTCAAAAAAATTTTGTACTATAAAATTGCTTTAGTAAGAAAGCTATTACTCAATTAAGCCTAAGTCATGCATCTCAATGTTCAATTCGATAATGATTGATTGATTGATAAAAATGACTATCTAATTGAATAAAAGTAGAAAAATAAAAAATATTGTTGCGGGCTAGAATATACGCGGCGATAGAGTTATTATTTTAGGTCTTAGCGTTGTACGGATAGCTAGCTCACACACAGAGAACACAAGATTTTTTACGTGAAAAATCCTTGAAAAAGGGCAAAACCACGGGGCCTAGCCCAGTTGAAAATGATTCCACTATAATTTGATTCGGTTACAAAGGGCTGACTCGCCTCCAAGGGCAATCAGATTACAATTAGCAATTGTTTGATAGAAGTTTGGCGTTAGACCTGGTGTCACTTGATAGTACCATGGCGTCACATAGAAGTTCGGGTGTTAGTTGGTAGTCTAGCCTTAAGAAGAATGTTGGGCCTTGAGCAGAACGTTGGGCCTGAATGTCGGGCATGAATGTCGGGCATTGAGCAGAACGTTGGGCATTCAGCAGAACGTCAGGACTTGAGCAAAACGTTGGGCCTTCAACAGAACGTCGGGACTTGAGCAGAATGTCAGGCCTGAACGTCGGGCCTTGAGGTGGTGTTGTAACGAAGCTCCGACGATGGTCCGGCGAGGTTCCGACGGTGGTCCGGCGAGCTCCGGTGGTGGTCCGACGAGGTTCCGGCGGTGGTCCGGCGAGCTCCTGTGGTGGTCCGATGAGGTTCCGTCGGTGGTCGAGGAGGAGCTTCTTCCTTCTCTTCCTTCTCTTCTCCTCTTCTCTTCTTCTCTTCCCTTCTTGCTTGGCTCCCCTTTCAAGAGAAATGAGGGTTCTATTTATAGATTTTCTGGAGTGGCATGACCCTTAAATAGGTGAGAGATCAAGGGTAAATGGGGAGTAGTTGGATGGACGGCCGATATTGAACCCCATGATTATGGACCGTTCGTCAGGCATTTGGAGGCCTTAGTGATTTCAGAATTTAGTGATCTTGGGCTCGTTGGATTCTTCTCGTCGAGCCGTTCGATTCGAGTATAAGCTCGTTAAAATCGGAGACCGTTTGGTAACTCAAGTTGTGGTTTGAACCTTCCAACAGCGCTTTGAACTCTTGATTCGGACTTATTTGGGCTCGGATTGGGTCGATCTTGGTGTTGTTGGGTTCGTAATAATAATAATAATAATAATAATAATAATAATAATAATAATAATAATAATAATAATAATAATAATAATAATAATAATAATAATAATAATAATAATAATAATAATAATAATAATAATAATAATAATAATAATAATAATAATAATAATAATAATAATAATAATAATAATAATAATAATAATAATAATAATAATAATAATAATAATAATAATAATAATAATAATAATAATAATAATAATAATAATAATAATAATAATAATAATAATAATAATAATTTTATGATTTGTCATATTAAAGTTTATCTATAATGGCTTATAAGCCCAACAAATTCACTTAAACTCATCGCACATTAAAGAGAAATAAATCTGAAAATTATGATGGGTCGGATTCCATTGCCCAAAAAATAAACAAGGCTTGGATGACCTTCCAAGGCCACGGGCTTCTAATTTAAGGGCATCTCCAACCGAAACTCTCATTTTTCACTGCAAAATTCAGTAAAATCAAAAAGTGTCGTGATTCATCTCCATTGGAACGCCATTTTGGCCCGAAATCATCGTCGTTTCTTTCGCGCCTTTCTCAGACTGAGTTCGGTAGAGCGAAAGAAATGGCGAAAGTGAACAGTGCGACGCCAATATTAGCGTCGCACTGTTCATCAGAGACTGAAGGACGACAAAAATAGAGTTCAGTTGCGATATCTGAGGCTCTCCATTCTGCCTGTTTGCCGAACTGCAAAAACTTCATAGCCACGACGCCTTCTTTTGCATCGGACTAACGACTGCCCAACGAGGATTTTTTTCAAAAACTGGCGGATATAGTCAGTCAGGATTTTATGAGCAGAACATATTCTCTCAATCAAGATTTTTTTAATGTATGAAGGTCTCTCAATTCAGATTCTCTTTTGATGACATCTGTATGCATGATTTCACCATCGAAGAAAGTCATGAAAATGTTTATCACTTGTAAATAAGTTTAACACCAAATATGATACTAATGTATTTTATTCCTATCACTCATACCACCGTATAAACTTTAATATTTCATTCCATCCCATAATTGATCTATGAATGATAGATATGAAATATTAAAATTCAGAGTGTTATATATGTAAATAACATGATATAAAGTGGTATGTATGTAAATCCCCCTTTAATTTATGGTGCGTCATAATTTGATCATGATGATGCTTCTCCATTGAGTTTCTTATTGTGGGACTGTTTGGTTGTCTGAAAAGAGAATACAATGTAAAAGGAATACGGTGTAAAAGAAATACTTCGAAGTTGTTTGTATGATTGTAAAATGAATGTATGACATTACTTTTTCTTTTTTGGTTTGAAGTAAAGTGAATGAAATGTAAAGTGCAAAAAAGTTATGACCGAGTGACCGACAGTGAAGGGTGGCAGCAGCTGGCAGTGGAGGTGGCAGGCGATGGTGGTAGGCCGGAGGTGTACGACGACAACCGACGATGGAGGGTAGCGACCAACGGACAATGGGGGCCGGCAACAGAGGTGGCCGACCAGTGATGGCTATGGCGGTGAGTTTGCAGTGTATTTGAAAATTGTCCAAATCGGAGGAATTTCAAATACACGCAAAATGAACACTCTTTGCAGTGTATTCCAAATACATTGAAATTTTACTCTGCATTCCTTTTAGTTCAAACCAAACATCAATATTTTCAAAACTCTTACATTTAGAATACTTTTTCACCCTCTTTACAACAAACCAAACAACCCCCTACATCATAGAACAATCAGAACTAGGTTCAAATTCTCTCCATTTGTAAAATAACTACATTGATGTAATTACCTCGTCTCAATCATGCACTTCATTATTTGGCTAAGATTGAAGCTTCTTTTTGGGCAATTTTCTTCCTGTTTTGTTTTTTAGATCGTAATCGTAGTTTTGGCCATTGCTTTTTCTTTACTTGTAATAAATTTTTGTGATAGAAAACAACTTTAAAAAAAATGTATTTTTTCCACAACAACTTTACAAACACTTTTCTAAAGAACTGCAATCGTCCCAAATGGACCGCGAATCCATCATTGCCAAAATACTTTGGATGAAAAAAAAAAACACTCAATTCTGCTGCCCAAAGCCTAGAATGAATTACTGCAGCGAAGAGAGAATTCCGCTACTGTAATTACCATGATGGTAGAGGACACCAAACTACTATTTTCGTTAATTAAAATGCTTACACAAACCTTCCATAACAGCCAACAAGCTCCCGTAGATCAAAATAGCTATAAGAAAAAAAAAAAAAAAAAAAAAAAAAAAAAAAAAAACTTGTTTATACATAAAAACAAGTTGGAATAGAGTTGAAGTTTGATCCAAATAGAGATCAAATCAAAATAAACGGTTCGAACAAACTCAGATCATAATTGTATTGAGTGATTAACTAGCTAGTTCTTGGCCTTGCTTATACACCAATCAGACCAAGCAAATGTTGAATCAACTCGAATTCGGATCATTTACAGGTTACAGCCCTACCAACCAACAGCAGGAACTTGCTCTTTAGGACTACTAAAACAAATGCAATGAGCAATAAGTGGACTAAACAGCTTTAACAGTCATAAACATGCAAGAAACCTGACATTCCATATGTATATAACAACTTCATCTCCATTCTATTGAATAAAGGTTATTTCAAAGACAACACTAGAACAAGTGAATCTCTGTACAGTAAAACAGACCAAGTTGCAGGGAAAAAAAATTACTAATACTCCTATTTCCTGATGATTTTTTCAAGCTATAATTAGAGAGGAGAAACTGAAGGTCCGAGATAAGGAACCTTACTATTTGCAGAATTCTCTGAGGTTCCCTGACTAATTCTATGTCAGTATAGGTTGCTATTTCTTTCTGGAATTCTGTAGCTGAGCTAATGAAGATACCACCTGATTCATGCTTGGCCTGAACTTAGAATTTCTGGAGAGACATTGGAGAGCTAGTGAAGCCACCTTCTGTGCTTCGGTGCGAGCATATTGCCCATCCAGTCGATTGTCCATGATGCTAAAAACCTTCCTTTTGTTTAAAAGATAAGGTCTTGCCCATTCGACAAGATTGTGCTCTCCATGAGGACGGTTCTTGTCGATAGCACGCCGACCCGATAACAATTCTAAGAGAACAACTCCGAAGCTGTATACATCGCTCTTCGTCGTCAAGTGACCTTTTGAAAACAGGGCAAATGTATTGTTAGAGCCTGTAAGTACTAAATGCTGATAAAGAAGGTGTCAATGGCTTGCTTTGGAGATGGTGTGGATGCTTGAAATAAAGTATGTCTTAAGGCATTTAAAAGATTATGACAGAAACTTAAATGAGGTTAGTAATAGCATCTTAATTAATAGGCCGCAAGCAAAGATAATTCAGTAGTAAATTGATTAATTTATAAAATAGTGAACAATATCTAGTGTACGCTAACCCTCTATATATATATATATATATAAGCCTCGAGGTGTTTTTCGTTAGTGAGGCAAGGCGTAAGCCTCACGGATAAAGAATTGAGTAAATGAGAATTTAAGGGTTTTAACAGATAAATAACAGTAAGATTCTATCATACAATAAAAAAAATCTAAATGAAAAGTGAAATTAGTGGAAAATAAATGCAATATATGCATCGTATAGTATAATTCAAAGTAAGTTGACCGCGGGATCGATTCCGCGGTTTAGTAGAAAATGAATCTTCCATCTCCGGATCTCAATTACAGCCACTCTTCAGAAGCAAGAGTCTCTGTTGAGGAAAGAAGGCGCTAGTGAAGGATGAGGGCAAGTCCAAATTTTTCATTTTTGCAGACGCAACTCCGGTGACTTTGGCCCGCAACCGACATCAACTCTTTCGTATAGAAAGCTTAGTGGATCAGCCGCTTCTGCATAAGCTGAATTAGAATACTGCGGGGAGGCAGGTCCGGGTTTCTGCAATAGGGAGCAGAGCAGGTAGGTCTTCGGAACGCCACACTTTCTGAGCTTTCCCACTCGCTTTCTGACACCTTTACCCGAGCACTGTGACGCAGTCGGTCAAGTATAGGCTTCAACGGAATAACGAGATCTCCACCCTTGATTAAAGAATCAACGGAAGAGATTTCACACGTTTGGGATTAGGGTGAAACCGAGACCCCTAGGCGTTTTTTGTTTCGTTCTATCAAACGGCCGAACCAAACGAAACGAAATTTTAAACACTAGTATAGGTAAAGAGCATTTGTGGGGGACCGTTTTCGCGATCTGAAATGCACTAAATCAAAAAGTTAAATTGCTCTAAGTGTTCTAATCTAGGGCTTCGATTTTACCTCAATCCAATTGATGGATTCGGAAGATCTTGGGTTCTATGAACTTGTAGACTATCCACGAGTAAATTTGGAGAAGAAACCTCGAGCTCCCAACGCCTGGATTGATCACAAATGGCTTTGGAAGATTTGAGGTCTCGGTTGGCCGGAAACCTTGATCGGCGGGGTTCGACTTGGAAGATATAGAGTAGGATTGTGGGAGCTCTCAAACCAAGAATCTCGGGTTAAGGAGGCTTGGTGAGAGAGCAAGAGCGAAAGGTCCCTTTAGAGGAGCCCTAAGGTCTCTATTTAAGTATTTATAGCTCTATCCTAGGATCAACGGCTAGGATTAGATCTAAGGTTTAATTCAGAGGGAGAGGGGATGATTAGCACGGGATTTGCCTGAGGGAAGCAATAGGAAAGATTGAAATTCCTTAATTATATTGAATTTGACCCAAAATAGGCTAGGTTTGACCAACCAAGGCTTGAGTTGACCAAGCCATGACCTAACCTAGTCAATTTGGTCAAATGGGTCCAAGGGAGTAAGAGGTTGAGCCAAGAAGAGTTTGAATTGGATTAGAACTTAATTTGACCCATACAAGCTAATTAGGTCAACCTGGGTTGGCCTGATCAACCAGGTTGACCCAGGACATGGGTTGGGTCTGGTCCACTAAGTCCAAAGGAGGTTGGATCTGAGCCTAAGAAGCATTGGAAGAGATTTGAAATCAAAAGGTAGGGTGTATGGGTCCATTTGAGTCAACCCTGGTTGACCCAGGGCCCGGATCTGGGCTCAACAGATTTGGTTTGACCCATGGAATTGATTGGGAGGGGTCTTGGGGCCTGGCCTGGTCAATTTGACCAGGTAAACCCCTTGAACCCAGGGTTTGACAAATTCAGGGTCAACAATAAGGTGATCAAATCAGTCTTGTGTAGTAGAAGCCATTGATATAACTTAAATATTTTATAGTTTCTGATCGAACATTTTGACTTGGTAATACATCACAATGAAAGGAATCATCTAATTCATAAAATTACTCAGAGCTGTAAATTGACCACCATGAACATTGTATGGAGAAGAACTGCATTAAAAGTCTTCCAGCAGAGTCAGAAAATAAATAAGGTGCGTACAACATAAAGCATATGTAACAAAGAGTTTCAACGTACCTGTTGCAAGGTATTCAGGCGCTGCATAGCCATGTGTTCCCATAACCCTAGTTGATACATGACTTCTATCACCAGTTGGGCCATCTTTTGCTAACCCAAAATCAGAAAGTTTTGCATTGTAATCCTGAGTTTGAAAAAAAAAACTAATGAGAAAATCAATTAGAAGGAAATTAAAAAGAAGATCTAAATTTTATATAAACCATACAGGACTAACATACAGAATCAAGTAGAACATTTGAAGCTTTGAAATCACGATAAATGACTTTTATCTCAGCACTGTGCAGAAAAGCAAGACCTTTCGCAGCTTCGAGAGCAACTTTTACCCGAAGAATCCAAGAAAGTGGTTGGAAGTGAGAACTCCCTGGCTCAAATAAAACCAAGTAAGAAATGGGATGAACAAAACCTTATAAAACAACTTCCTAAACCTGTAAATACAACAATGTAGACAAGCTAAAAAAATTGAAAATAAATTAGAATTGTTAATTACTCCTGAATAGATGGTTCTCTAAGCTTCCCCGAGGCATGAACTCATAGACTAGCAAGCGATGTTCATCCTCCAAGCAGAATCCAATCAACTTTACAAGGTTAGGATGGAAAAGCTGACCCAGGTAATTCACTTCAGCCTGCAAATTTAAATTGATCAACCCTTTTTTTCCAAGAATAAACCAACAGACATCATTAAGTACCTAAATCAGACCCCAATGAAGGTATTATAGAGCATATAACATTTTAAAATCAAACAAAGTTCCCCATAGGAAAATTATATAGTCTGAAGATTATGTTGGAGATGATTTCAATTCCCGACGGCAATTTACTAGCCATTTTCATTGTCTAAACCTTCTCTCAAGTTCAGAAACAAGATAGAATATTGGTCCAGTTGTCAAATAAAGTTACTGCATAAAACTAGGCAAATATTTCCCACATGTTACAGAGTCTAGCCTATTCAGCAATGGTTTCGTCCCCGACCGGTTTGAAATGCATTAACTGAAATATCATGCACTTCAAATTTATCAAGTCTTTCTAACGACCTTGTTCACGATAAACTTGCTTATTTTCTATAATGTTGTGAAGCCTGAGTTTTGCCATATTAATAAATGTCACATGAATCAATTGTGGTATTCAAAATTTATAAGTTGTTTCATTAAATGTGTTTTGGGGAATTGGTTGCACTAGTCTTTTCTTTATAAGGGAGACTTTGTCTTTAGGTGTCAATTGAAATATTAGGGCTATAGAAAAATTCACAATCACAATCATAAAAAAACCCGTAACAATGGCAATAGGATATAGCCATCAATTAGTGAATACACGTTAAATTCTTGGTATGTTTTGAGTGTTAATCTTCCTTCTGCTCCTTCGCTCTTGGAGATTGAATTAGGTCCCATAATTCCCAACAGCTTCTTCTATTTTCACCACCATTTGACTTGTGTTCATGCAAATACACAGATAAAAACGATGATCATGAATAATCCTTCTATAATGCTAACCGAATAAAACAAAGTAAACTCTTATAGATCAGAACTTAGTACTCACCAACCACTCCTTATGACCCTGAAACCCTTCCTGATTGAGCTTCTTCACAGCAATAACTATCCCAGTCCCCGGCTTGGCCGGAGCAAATGTCTGCTCATCAACCCACCCTTTAAATACGGCACCAAAGCCACCCTCTCCTACAATACTATCTGGTCTGAAATTCCTTGTAGCAGTTTTTAGCTCATTGAAGGCAAAGCTCCGGACATTAGATGACTTCAGAATCTCCCCTTCACTTCTCTGTGTTGGGGGCACAGATGCATTAGAAACCTTGCTGCTAAAACTGCTGAACTCATCTGTGCTGCCGAATTCTACCAGGCAACCAAAAAAGAAACATTTCAGTACATCTAGACAGTCATAATAAGCAGCATGCATAAAACCCTAGATTTCACTAGATCCCAAAAATAAAAGTTACTATTTTTGGAATGATGAATGGAGTTCCAAATCCTGGAACAATAACAGAAAAACGGAATTAAAGAAACCCATTCGAATGCACACCTGATGCCGAGTACAAGGGCTTTTCCACCTTCAATCGATCGCTCCAACAGAGCCCCATCAAACCGCTAACACTTCTTCTTCTCTCAATCCTTCCGCGCCATGCGCTCTTTCTAAGCACCACCGAAATCAAGGTTCTTATAACTTTGCAGAACGATAAAGGGAGAAACCAATACTCTGCCAGATCCAGAGGGGAACTGTTAAGACACATGACGTGTCCGGTTTAGAAGCTTCTCTATTATGTTCAAAACCTATATATAAACTGTAATATGTAATACCTGGCATTAATAAGATTTCACATTTCATTTCTCTATCTTAAGCTCTCTCCAGTTTCTTGTCTCTCGATCTCAACTATTCTCACATGGTATTTTTTTTACACGTCGGACAGCATCGGCGGTAGTAAACAGAGACACGGATCTTCTCATCCCGCCCCATCTGAAATTCTTGATATCCAATATCAAGAATCTGGTTCCCACCTCTCTCACAACCGAGAATTACTCGATTTGGAGACTGCAACTACTCCAGCATTTCTCGGCAAACGGCTATGGCGAACATCTCACCGGCCAAGTTTCTTGTCCGCCGGAGTCGAACGAATCAGAGCGAAATCGATGGATCCTAATAGACCGCAATCTGGTCTCAGCATTACTATCTACAATCTCATCCTAAATACTTCCATACGTCATCACCATTCGCACCGCTCACGAAGTCTGGACTATGCTCGAGCGCCGTCTTCAACCGACGAGCCGATCTCGGGTGATTCAGCTCAAAAACGAGCTTCACCAAATGCAGATGCAAGATCGGACAATGCATCAGTATCTTGATCAGATCAAGAAAATCGTAGATAACATCGCCGCGGCCGGATCCACAGTTGATACCGAAGACATAGATCTATACATTCTAAATGGCTTACCCGTTGCATACAACCCATTTAAAACTGCAATCAGGACGTCTTTCCAACTCGTCCAACTAGACGATCTATACTCGCTGCTAACAAGCGAAGAAATCAACCTTCAGCATCAGCAGCTTCAAGAAAGTCGAACGTCTGATTCCACAGCATTATTTGCGAATAGATCCACCAATTACAGAGGAAAGACGAACAAATTCAGAGGACGTTCATCCACTCGTCAACAACCGGCCGAACGATCATCGGCTACATAAACCCAAAATAATACAAGAACTCAAAATCAGCGCCCTCAATGCCAAATCTGCGGCAAAATGGGTCACTCTGCACTAAACTGCTGGCACAGGTGCAACCTGAACTACACTCCCCCATCCAACCAGTGGGCTCTTACAGCTCAACAACAACAAGTCACAACTAGTGACTGGATCTTGGATTCGGGGGCGTCTTCCCACCTCACCGCCGACCACCACAACTTACAGCAATCGACGCCTTACAACGGTCTCGACACAATTTCCATCGCAAACGGGAGTAACCTTTCCATTCAGAACTCGGGACAAGGCATTCTACCCCTGCCCGAGTCCAACAGTAAGCTTCACTTGAAAAACATTTTTCATGTTCCAAACATTTCCCATAACCTGTTATCTGTATCCAAACTAACCTCCGGCAACAACATTTCTATTTCTTTCATTGCTAACGAATTTGTGATTAAGAATCTTCAGGACAATCAAGTACTTCTCCGAGGTCCAATTCGCAATGGCCTATATCATATCAAAGCTCCTTCCACTCGTAAAGAAGCAGCTATGCACACGGTCCAGGCGAACAAGATCTCCTGGCACAACCGTCTCGGTCATCCGAATGCCCGCAAACTCAACAAACTGGCTACACTTGTTCCAGACATTTCTTCAACTTCCTTAAAGCACATTTGCATTTCTTGTCATATTTCCAAAAGTCATAAACAATCTTTCTTTCGTAGCATTTCTGTGTGTAATAAACCTTTCCAGTTCGTCCATTCAGACGTCTGGGGACCGGCTCCAGCCACTTCACTAAACGGTTTTCGTTTCTATGTAATCTTCGTAGACGATTATACTAGATTTACATGGCTGTATCTTCTCTTTACCAAAGATGAAGTATGTTCTAAATTTCAAAACTTTTGCGCATTAATTAAAAATAAATTCAATACCAGCATTCAAACGTTAAGGACCGACGGCGGCGGAGAATTCACAAGCCACACCATCCGGAACTACCTGGCTCAAACAAGGTATTACGCACCACATCAGCTGTCCCCATACACCCGAACAGAATGGTACCGCAGAGAGGAAGCATCGTCATTTGCTGGATCTCACCCGCACTCTGCTCCACGTCACAAATCTCCCAAATTCGTTTTGGGCAAAAACTGTATCTACAGCAAATTATCTCATCAATCGGCTTCCGTCAGCGGCAATCAAGGATCAAATTTCGTATAATCTTCTTTACGGCAGTCCTGCATCATACGCACACCTATGCACCTTCGGCTGTCTTTGCTTCCCATGGACAAAACAATACACTCAAACCAAACTCTCTCCCCGCTCGAAGGCCTGCGTCTTCGTTGGGTACTCAACTCAACACAAAGGATATCGATGCCTTGACTTCGCTAACCAAAAGTTGTACATATCAAGGCACGTGATCTTTCACGAACACATATTTCCCTATGCGAAGTCGATCACAAATCAACCAAATGAAGCCACGCATCAGCATTACTCACCTCTGCTGTTAGTTCCGACCTCCACCCTCACAACTCGAACAGAGAACGTTCCTCACAACAAGACATTGCCAACTCCTCCGCAGCACGTCACAAATACCATTCCGATGAGCAATCCCGCTCCAGCCATCTCCAATCCACCGCCGGCGACAAGCGATCCCCTCGCCTCTCTTCCCGCATCTACCACCAACAGGCATCATATGCAAACACGACTACGCTCAGGTATCTCCAAACCAAAACCAATCTTCACACTAACTGCAATTCCCTCCGAGCATTCCACTCCGACATCCTACAACGAGGCTGCTAAGCATAAGCACCGGGGATCGGCAATGTTGGCCGAATTTCGAGCACTACAAACCCAAGGCACCTGGATACTGGTTCTCGCACCGATCGACAAACCGATCCTAGGTAGCAAATGGACCTTCAAGAAAAAGCTTAACCCAGACAGCCAAGTCCTCCAATACAAAGCCCGTCTGGTCGCACAAGGCTGCTCTCAAGAATTCGGAATAAACTTCACAGAGACATTCAGTCCCGTCGCAAAAATGGTAACAATTCGTATGCTTATCACTCTCTCCTTAACGCATAACTGGCTTATAAAACAGTTAGACATATCGAACGCTTTTCTTCAAGGCGACCTACTGGAGGAGGTTTACATGAAACAGTCGAGAGGTTTCGAAGATGTCATCCATCTGAAACACGTATGCCAGCTGAGGAAATCCATATACGGCTTAAAACAGTCTAACAGTCTCCGCGGCAGTGGTTTCACAAACTCACCACGTTTTTACAAACTTTGGGCTTCAAATTCAGCTCAGCCGACCCCTCCCTACTACATTTCAATCACAACAACACACGGATGTTCGTTCTCATATACGTCGACGACATCTTGATCACCGGCAACAACACAGCCAAGATAGACAAAACTCTGTGCAGCCTCCGATCAGCATTCAAATTAAAGAAGTTAGGAGACATTTCCCTGTATCTCGGAATCCAGATGATCAAAAATTCATACGGCTATTTCCTCTCTCAATCACATTACGCACAAACAATTCTCACCAATGCAGGTCGATGACTGCAAGCCGGCACCATCTCCTTCGTCAGCTCACACCTCTCCAACTCTCAATGACTCTCCGTTCACCGATCCAACTCTGTTTCGGAAGCTGGCAGAATCTCTTCAGTATCTATCCATTACCAGACCAGATATTGCCTTCGCAACAAACACCATTTGTCAGCAGATGCATCATCCCCGTCAAAGCGACTATCAGGCACTCAAATGCTTGTTACGATACATCAAAGGAACACTGGAATACGGTCTCCCGATCAAGAACGGTCCTACTCAGCTTAGGTGCTACACAGACGCTGACTGGGCGGCAAATCACATTGATCGGAAGTCGATCTCAGGTTTCTGCACATTTCTCGGACCCAATCTAATCTCATGGTCCGTTAAGAAACAAAATACCGTCGCAAGATCATCCACAGAAGCGGAGTATCGGGCACTCTCCGCAGCTACATCGAACGTTCTATGGCTCCGACGGCTAGCCTCTGATCTCGGCATACCCCAGACAGATCCTACAACGATACACTGTGATAACATCTCAGCGATAGCCCTCGCTAAGAATCCCGTTTTTCACGCTCGTACAAAACACATCGAAATCGACCATCACTTCATCAGTGGTCATCTTCAAAACGAGAACATTCGTATCGTTCACCTCGGCTCACTGGATCAAATAGCAGACATTCTCACAAAATCGCTTCCCATAAAACGCTTCTTGGACCTACGATCCAAATTGACCATTCGTCCACCGAATGATCAATTTGAGGGGGCCTGTTAAGACACATGACGTGTCCGGTCTAGAAGCTTCTCTATTATGTTCAAAACCTATATATAAGCTGTAATCTGTAATACCTGACATTAATAAGATTTCACATTTCATTTCTCTATCTTTAAGCTCTCTCCGATTTCTTGTCTCTCGATCTCAACTATTCTCACAGAAACACTGAATCAGGCCACAGAAGGACAGAACGAACTTTTCCTTTATTCGCAAGCCGCCAAATCTGGAAGATCGCTACACACGCGAAACCTGCCCAGCAATTTTGGCTTGCTTAGCTGCGAACTTTTTCCGTAGCGAAAAAATAAATAAATAAGACGACTTTTCCCTTATCCACGCAATCTTCTTCCCTTGACCTCCATTGCACCTCAGGTTGACTTTAAGGGAAGAGAGAGAGAGAGAGAGAGCACGCGTCCAGCGAGCAAGTTGGTTGGCTCAATAACAATAATGGCGGGTGATGAAAGCAAGACCGAGTGATGGATTTTTTGTAGTCTTCCAGCTGTTATCTAGATGGTCTTTTCGTAAGAAAGAAGATAACAGAAAATAAATTAAAATTTGAAAAAATTAAGGTTGGAAAAAAAAAATTAAAATGGAGGCCAGAGGGTAGAATTCAGTCATGGCAAGTTCAGGTCTGGACCACGCATGGCTCTTTTTTTTTTAATTACCGAAGCGGAATCTAAGACTAGGTCTAAATGCATCCAGCTTAAACGTCCTTAATCTATATTCATAATTTTTAATTCATACCCGGCTCCTTTAAAATTTTATTTTATTTGAATTGGCACATATTTGATATATTTTATTATTATTATATGTCAGAGATAAAAATATAAAGTTTAATATCTTAGTTTTATACAAAGATTAGCACGTAGATAAAAGTGGATTTGTGAGAGATATTAAAGATTTTATATAGAATACTCAGAAAGAAAAAAATAAAATAAAATTTCACCTCACATAGCTAAAATGATTTCATTAGTGTTTATAATTGATTATAAATGACAGACTCTATTAGAGGAAGGCGTTAGTAAAATAGGTTAAACATACAACACATAGAACGTATTATGTGGTGGAAGTTAGGAATGCCCAGTGGTATCGGAGTTATCTTCAAAATATTATTTGCTTTATAGTTGTTTGTACTCTTTTGAGGATGAGAGAATAAAGACCTGCAAGAAATCAAAAATAAATTCTAATATTGATGTTAGGAGTCAGAGTTGTTATTAGCAACATCATCTATCTTATAGGCAATAACATACATTAATTTTGTTGGTGATAATAGGTAACAAAGTTAATGGACGTTGAAGTAGCAAGACAACATTGGTTCAAAAGCTGTAGTAGTATGATAATGGTTGGATGACTATAGTTGGGTGATGGACAGAAGAGGGTCTTAGTCAAGCAACGATGATTGGAAAGAGCATAGTTGTGTGATGGTGGTCAGGGGATCAAAGTTGTTGATAATGGTTACAAGGTTGCAATTGAGCAATGTTGTCCAGAGGACTGTAGTGAGGTGATGATTGTTTAAGAATCGTAATTGGGAAAATGAGATTAGGGGATCATTGTTGAACGATAATATGCATGAGATCGTAGTCAGACAATGATGGGTAAATGATTGTAGTTGGGTTATATTGGTCGAAGAACCGCAGTTTGCTGATATTGGTCAGATAATCATAGTTGAGTGATAATGATCAAATGATCATAATTAGATATCATGATTGGAGGACTTCAACTGAGCAACGTAATTGGAAGGACTATTTTTTTGGCGATGAATGTCAAAGGATCGAAATGGAGTGACGGTGGTTATAGGAATGAAATCAAACATTGGTGATCAAAAGATCATAGTTGAGCAATGGTGGTCTGACGACATTGGTTGTGCAATGGTTTGATGTTGGCAATTGAGCAATAATTCAAGGGCAATCGGGTGGTGTTTCGATGATGCAATTGAGCAGTTGCCCAACATTATTAGTCATGTGATGGTTTGACCTCGATTGTTTTAATGAGTTAGTCAAGTGATGGACTGATGATGGTAGTCAAACAATGATTTGACAACAATAACTAGAAGATGGACGGGTAATGATGCTTGGATGGAGTTCCAATATTCATAGAACATTAGAGTTCTATTGACTCTCAAACGGTCCTCTCTCTTTCCCATTCATGTAAAGAGTGGGTATAAAATTTTAGATTGGGATGCTTCTAAAATATATAGAGAAAATTCAAAATACTCTATTTAATATCACGTATTAATTCTTTTGATTATAAATAGAGAGTTCTTTTTATATTTAAGTGTATGTTGTAAAAATTAAGAAAATTAAAGCTCATTGGATTCATATCGTTGTGACGATCAATTTGATCATAAACATGATAAATTTGAAAACCATTTGAACATTCATACAAGCTTTTAATTATGCTTCAATTGCTTGATCCATGCTTATTTAAACTCAAGTCGTATCACTTTTGTCATTAATTGTTAATTGATTCATCTCATTGAAACGTTTAGTTTGACTATTAATTTATTAAGATCAAAATTTAGATGAATCTAAATTTAATTTTAAAAGTTTTTAATTTAAATATGCCTCAAGATTTGTACTCAATCAAAGAAATTTTTGATGACATCAATTAGAAACAATTAAAGAGTCTAATTGTATGCTCAAAATCTGTTCAAGCTAAACTTAGATTAACTTGGCTGATTAGGAGTCCATACAGTGAGTCCTCTGAACAAAAGTAGCTAAAAGACAATCCTTAATCAGAAACTTTTAATAGGTCCGGTGTAAGGACGTAGAGGAACGTTCGGTCGGAAGCAAAATACCTCCAAAAAACTCGGTATTTGCTCGGTATTGCTAGGTATTATTTGATAATAACGAGGAATACCGCTCTGTGACGACCAATACCGAGTTATACCGAGCAATACCGAGTTGTACCGAGTTTTTTCTAGGAAAAACTCGGTACAACTTTTGTACAACTCGATATTACTCGGTATAGCTCGGTATAACTCGGTATGGGATCTTCACGTGAAGGTATTCCTCTTTATTATTTGATATTACTCGGTATTTCTCATTTTTTGACGCGATTTGGCCTCCGACCGGACGTTCCTCTACGTCCAGTCGGAGGACGTAATAATTGTTCCTTAATTAGCCCCAAAATTGACCAAACCAAATGACGTCACCACCACAAAAAAATTCCAAGGCTAACATAGCGCCAAGTCACCAAAGCAACTCGTTTACCTATTCATCTCTCATTTCAATTAAATTAATTTAAACATAAATCTAATAATTTTAAAATCCCGTTATAATACCAAAAAAAAAAAAATCACTTCATTAATATCTGCCTCCTATTTCGTGATGCCATAAAGTAGTATATGATTTTTAGAATAACAAAAAATGTTGAAGTAAACTAATTACATAATCCAATCGACAGAATAAAAAAGATTATTATCTCGTACGGATTGTATTTTTAAAATAGTTTTTTTATTAATAAAAAATAATGCAAGCCAAAATAATCAAACCACTTGCACCGCAATCCGCGACTTGTCAAGTTTGTTGTGTTGGTGGATCAAACAGAAGTCAAAGAGGCGGCCCAGCTAACCTAACAAGGGTTTTCCCTAATAAAGCCAGCCTAATTAAGCATTTTTTTTTTTAAGGAAGATTCATACACACATCACATATATAAGATTTGAACTCAAGACATCTTAATTGATAGCCTAAGCTCCTAACCAACAAACCAATATGAGTCGTGTATAGCAATTTAATTCAGATAGGATAATTAGGCAAGCTGGACAATCGAAAATGTCATGGCTTTTTTACTAGCCTTATTTGCGCCCTGATCTGCTCTGCGCGACCGATGGTATCCAGTTACATAATACCCAAAATTATAAGAAAAAAACTGAATAAACAAAACTGGAGATAGTTTTAGGTGACATGGTGGTGTGGAACCGAAACCTGCAGAGAACAATTATAGAGAAATAGAGCAAGATAGTGCAGAAAAGAAGAAGAAGAAGCAGAGGAGAAAAGAAAGGAAGAAGAAGAAGAAGAAAGAACCGGGAAAGCCAGGAGGAGTAAAAGTAACTTTGTATTATATTATCTTCTTCTTCCTACCTTCAGCCGGCTGCCTAATATAACTAGTAATTGCTGTAAAAGAAAGGGAAATACTAGAAACGTTCCTCCTGCCACTAGTTGGCAAAGAAGGCAATAAAACAGTAACAAAAAGTAAAATAGTAGTGGAGCAGGCCGGTATTCGTTGAAGGATGTGGTAAGTTAGGCTGGTGGTGTAGGATAAGATAATGTAGCCCACATCACATGGTCACTTGCCTCCAAGCCTTACAATGCCGCAGATTAGAAAAAGAGCAAACCAAAATAGTCTACTCAGACTTCACTGTAGCAGAATTGATGATGTCCACAAATTCAGGCTGTGAATAGGAAAAACATTAAGAAAATGAAAGAATGAATTAGGTCAAGGAAAATTATGAAATATATCCAAGCAGAAGTGTGAACAATTATATTTGAAAATTCAAGTAATGCTTAGTACGCATAAAAATACCTCCAGCATGGCACAAACCGTGTCGTGATTATAATAATTTTAGTATTTGTAATTGAATCCAAAGTTTATTAAATTTTAATTTTTGAAGAATGCTGATAAACAGGCAAACCTTCAAAGAAGCACCACCAACAAGGAATCCATCAACATCAGGTTGCCCTGCCAGTTCTTTGGAGTTTGCTCCATTTACAGAACCTACAAGAAGAAATTGGACCAAAGCGATGATTTTCAAGGATTAGCACGAAATTATAGATGGAAAATGAGTGCAGATTTGAATATAAATGATATTTTAACAAATCACTAACTATATAGCATCAATGACGTTTGAAATACTGCAACAACAACAACATCAAGTCTTTATCCTACTACGTGGGTCGGCTACATCATACATGAATGCTTTTTCTCCCTTGTGTATTATTAAAAGTCAAATTCTCATTTAGATTTAATAAATAAATATCATTTCTAATATTTTCTTACAAAATCTTTTTATGTCTACCTCTATCTTTCGTAACATAGGTCAAATCTAATATATCTACTCTCCTAATCGAGTCATCGGAAGGCCGTTGTTTTATATGACCAAACCACCTAAGGTGGCTCTCTAATCTAATCTGCCACTAGAGCTACTCCAACCTTTTCACGTATATGCTCGTATCGTATCATGTCTCTAAGAAAGTCATTCATCCACCTGAGAATCCTCATCTCTGCAATACTTAACTTAATATTATGCTTCTCTTTTAATGACCAACATTCTTGCGCCATAAAGCATTGCAATTCTAACCATCATCTTATAGAATTTTCCCCAGTGCTTTAAAAACCAGACCGGACCGGCCGGTCTGACTGGTTCAACCGTGAACCGGTCCGGTCCAGTCTGAAAATCGGCCTTGCTTTAGACCAGACGGTTTTGGGATGAACCGCCGGTTCAACCGGCAAACCGGTCCCGGTTTTTAAAAACCGGCTGGTTCAAGTTTTTAGAATAATATTTGTTAAATAAATGATTTAATATTAAATAAATATTAAACTTAATCATAATTAATATAAATATTATTATAAAACTCTTAAATTAAATTAAAGATAATATTTTATTATAATTTCAACAATCTCATGTCTTCAACTCTTCATGATTTCTTAAGAGCTTATTTTGTTAATTTTATTAAATTTTTATAATAAAAATATTATTTATTACTTCATCCGGTTCAACCCCAGTTCAACCGGTAGAACCGGTCGAACCGTGAACCTCTCCTTCTTCCGATTCGTTGTCCGATCCAATTTTCAGAACCTTGATTTTCCCTTAAGTTTGAATAGTATTTTTCTACCACACAACAAGCCCGATGCATTCCTCCACTTCAACCATTCAATTTAAATTCTACTAATAATATACCCATCTATTTCACTATCACTCTGAATAATAGACCCAAGATATCTAAAACGTGTACTCTTATTAATGACTTGTTCGCTTAAAGTCGCTAAACCCTCACTAGATCTATTGCTACTAAAATTAAACTCCATGTATTCGATTTTAGATCTACTCAAATGAAAACCTTTAGACTCGAAATTTGACCTCCATAATTCAAGTTTACTTTCAACTCACTCTTTAGTCTTATTAACAAGAAGAATATCATCAGCAAAAAACATACAACAAGGAACATCCTCTAGCAAATCTCTAGTAAGAACCATGGATGATGTTTGATATGAAAGGATGAAATTAGAGAAAAAGAATGTATCTCCATTAAAAAAAGAAAAAAAATGTACCTCCATAAATAATCCTCGTTGATTCAGCAACTTCAGCACTCACATTTTCCTTGAGCCACTTGCGCAATTCGAAGTGAACCTGTTGACAAATCAGCATAGAAAATGATGATTGATGGAAAACAGAAAGGTCAGCCACAAAGCGGATAGGTGAGGTCCTAAAGAGTAGCAATAGGATTAGAAATTGGCATATGGATCAGTTGGCCTGACTGAATTAGCATGACCAAATAATCAAGCTTGGGCAAATAATTTAGCCAAATTATTTAAATTGGTCGTGATGGAGGCTGGCTGGGGTTGGTCATGTTTAAGTCTTGATTGGTAGACAACCTCTGCATTGAAGCAATACTCCTTGGGGGCTTCCCTTGGGCGATAGAAAGCCTACATCACCTTGGCCTAACAACTTGGCTTCTCCACAACCAGGTAAACTTAATCAGCCTATAGAACTTTCCTAGATTGGGCAAGGATTATGAAGGTTGTCCAATTCAATCAGACAAAATTCCGCCCACACAGCAAAATGTAAAGGTTTTAGTCCTGATAAGGTTACATTCAATGGCTCTGCATTGCAAGCTTACATGCATCAAAATCTATGGAGATTGTAGGAAAAATACATGCAGGTGCACATGATGTTTATCAGATCCTAGAAAAACGAAATAATCTTAGAGAAATGTTACTCCAGATAAAGTTGCATACCGACTGCTTTACATGCTTATTATTAGTACAAGTGATAAGCAGGCGAGGAGTTTGCATTTGTGTTGTTTGCTTCTTCTTTTTAATTGATAGAGAAGCTAAACACTAGAAAAGAAAGGAAAAACAAAAAACAAAAAACAATCCCACATAGGATATCAGTAGAACTTACCTCTTGGGCCTGAGCCGGAGTAGCAACCTTGCCAGTCCCGATGGCCCAAACTGGCTCATAGGCGACAACTACATTTGTCCAATCAGAAATCCTTTCTGCGAGATATAAATTGATGACAGCATCGAAAGCTTCAGTCAATCTAAAAAACTGTTCAGGAAAAATTTATTGTAAGTAGGAATTATTAAGGATGTCTACTAAAATATGATAATAAGGAAAGTAAATCTAATAAGCCTGTGTGGGCTCCGAAAATTCGGCCCCGGCCTCCCCGCTCGCTTTTCTTTTTATTTGGCGAGGGAGTTTAAACGGAATAAGTTCCGGGGTAAATTTTGGAAGGCAGATGGATTGTAGATAAGACACTAAGGATTTCGCCCTCATTGTGCGAGGACTTTATGATCTGAGTTCTGGTTTCCTATAGGCGCAAGCCCCTATAATTAATTACCCCTCCCGATCACGAGAGAGAACTTTCGATTAAGGCTAGTCGTCAATCAGATACGTTGTATCCATAGATACGTAGTATCAGGCATATAGTAGCAGCAATAAACATTGGTATTTGAAAATGTTGGATTTGGAAATTGGGTTTGAATTTGGGCATTGGGAAGAGTTTGATATTTAAAATGGGAAATTTCACCATCTTGCACTTAAAGCGGATGGTGGGGGAATGGATGATGGACCCGATCAAGATCCCATGGTTCCGTCGTCCCGGGCCATCGTGGTCCCTGATCTACTTAGTCAGAGGAGATAGTTGACCCAACCTGACAAAAGGATCCTTATCGGCAGCCATGGGTTGCTTCGTCCAAGGGGACCTTATAGACCTGGGATGAGTGTTTGTCTAAGAAGACAAATTTGAATCCACCTTAGCTTACAGAGGGCTTTGTGCCCTATCAATCATATCCTATTGATTCATATCTCAAGGATTTGATGCCACTAAGGAGCATATTGGCTCTGGCCATAATCGGTATTTCGTGGTGCCATTTGGCGGCAAAACCACTCGGTTCAGAGGGCCCCGGGTCGTCATAATCGTTTATCCTGCGGTGCTATTTGGTGGCAAAACCGCCAGTTAGAGGACACGTACCACGTCCTTACTTGTAGGAGATTGTTTGAGAATGGATCATAGTGATATTTTCGACTAGGCATTTCGCTCTTTGTGAGTTAAAGTTATATCTGAATTTGTCCACCTAGGCAAACTGTTGTTGAGGGTCGATGGATTTTGCTTTAAGCGATTGATAGTTTATTTCAATTTTAAATATTTTTGGGATTTTGGGATTTTAAAATTTTTTTTGTGGGTATTTAGGTGGAGCTTTTGAATATTTGAAATGGACCCCTCCGGTTGAGATCTGCCTTTAACACGGCCATCATCGGGGTGTTTGGGGTCATTTCCATTTGATTGAACCTTGTTGACCCTATCAACTTACCGATAGGGGATCGGGTTTCATAGGCATTGTGTCCTTGTTTGTGAAATTTCTCTGTTGAAGGCCTAATATGAATGTACAAAATAAATATTCTGGTCAACTTTGTGACCGCATATTTATCCGATGTTTGAACCCTGTCTACTCCTATTTACTTGCTTAGGAGGATCGGGTTTTGTAGGCTTTGTGCCTTTGTTAGCGAATTCTTTTGATTATAGGCCTTGAAGGCCTAATATGAATGTACTAAAATAAATACACCGGTTGTCACAACCGTGCATTTGTTTGAAAGTTTGAACCCTGTCGAATTCTATTAATCCATATAGAATGATCAGGTTCGAACTTGAATTCACTTATCAACCCGCGCAGCATCCCTAGACGTCACGTGTGTACTAATGACACGCTCGTCGGGGCCCTTGCGGGTTTGAGGGTATTTTATAATTAAACCATGTCGACTCCTTTTTACCTGCTAAGGAGGATCGGGTTCAAATTTGATAACCCGCGCAGCATCCCTAGACGTCACGTGTGTACCAATAACATGCTCGCTGGGGCCCATGCGGGTGCTTGGGAACTTCATTGATTTGGACGTACCCCATTGTGTACCTATGTGTATACAAACTATAGTGCATGTACAGGGGTACTTTAAAATATTTGTAGTTGTGTAGATAACTATCGTTTGGATGCACACAACTTTTCATTTGATAGCTTATGCATGCCTTATGTCCGCTAGTACGAGTGTTGCGGATCCGGTGGCGGTATGGTCTTGATGTTATGAGGCATCTCGTCATCTTGATGTTGACTCCCCTTTTTTTCATTCACCAGGGGAGGGACTTCTAGACTTTGAAATCAGTTATTGCTGCCTTGAAAAGACCTCTTTTCAGGATCTTCAGTGTAGTAGACTTGTTATTTCGGGTGTTTGCGGACACCAAAACTGTTTTCTTCTTAAGTATAGGACTAAGAAGAGGCTTGGGAACATCCCTTTCTTTTTGCCAGGGGGTGTCCTCTTTGGTATATCGAGTTACCCTTGTACCCAACGTACCCGTAGGCCTTAATCATAGTTGTCGTAGGTGATACTCGTACTTGTGTCCACAATAATTCGTTGTGCTTACGATATACACATTGTTGTTATCCACAAGTGGCTCGTGTTTGTTTGTAGGAATCCGTTGTATCTACTACGAGCTCCTAGGAGGTATTCGTAGGGGAGCCATTGTTCTTGTATCACATCCACCTTTCACCAATCTCAGGTGATTTTGCTGATTGTACTTGTTTACAGGAAACGATCCTCTTTCATACACCGGGTTGCCCTTGTACCCGACATACTTGAAGATCTTGATCACCACTGTCGTAGGTGATATCTGTGCTTGTGTCCACAGTGATTCATTGTACTTACAATACACTGTTGTTATCCACAAGTATCCATTTGCAGGGGCCCATTGCGTCTACTACGATCTCCTGGAAGTATTTTGTAGAAGATCCATTGTTTATGCATCGAATCAACCTTTCACCAATCTCAGGTGGTTTGCTGATTGTACCTGTTTGTATATACAGATCTTTCATTATTAGATGCCATCTCAATCAACAGGCGCTTCGTATTTATTCATTGCGCTAGAAATCTTGTGTCATAGCTTACAGGTAGAAATTTTTGCCCATTTCTCAAGCGAGTTGCGCTTAAGATTTTAGCTTGAGTTGGAACACTTGCATGATTGTTCAGATCAAGTTCAGATCTAGCTTGAGTTCAAGTATTCTGAAATCTTGTTCAATTCATGTTAGAGTTCACTTGAGTCCGAATTAGCTGCAAAAGTTCACTAGTCCCTTGTATTCGATCCGGTTCGAGTTCAAAGTACATGTTCAAGCGCTTGTTCATGATCTTCTGAAATCCTTGCAAGTTCAATTGAATGCTCAATTTGATTTGAATTTGATTTCAGTATCATTTTATTTTATTTGATTTTTTACCTTTATAAATCATTTAAATTTTGTTCTGATCCTCTGCTTGCGTTCAATCAAGTTCAAAAATCCACAAGTTATTGTTCATTGTTATTCATTTGAGTGCAGGCTCTTATTCTTTTTGAGTTCAAACATGTCCGGGTCCGAGTTCAAGTTCAGCTTGTTCAAATTCTGCCCAAGTCCCCTATTTCAATGAAAATTTCGGCAGCCTCCGGGCGACTCCCCCGTTTAGGGGAAAAACCAAGAGGCAACCTTCCCCTTGACGCTACGTGAGCGCTTCAGGTAGATGTAAAAAATGACACCGCGGTCGCATGTTCTATTTAAAATTCCCGCCTGCTACGTGAGCGTTTAAGGGTGTGGAGCACGAGTCAGAAAAAACACAGATTTCCCCCCTCTGCACTACATGAGCGTTTGGGGGTACTTATGTATACATAAAAAAAGTTTATTTTTTTATCCTATTCGTCGCAAGCGTCGCACCGGTTTTCCGCCCTACAACGCTACTTGAGGGCATAGGGGGTTTACCAGCTCGTTGCAAGCATTGAAGTGGGATCCTTAAGTCGTCGCAAGCATCGCACCGATTTCCCGCCCTACAACGCTACGTGAGCGCGCAAGGGGTTTGCCGACCAGTTGCAAGCATCGAGAAAAGAATCTTAGGCGACTTTCCGCCTCGCCGTAGGCGTCGGACTAGCTTCCCTTCCCACAACGCTACGTGAGCGCGTAGGGGGTTCGCTAGTTCATCGCGAACGTCGAGAACGGAAGTCTGAGTTTAGAATTTATACCTTCGGGACCGGTGAACCGGTGGTGGAGGGCACGGATGTCGAAGCGGGAGAAGGGCTTTTGCAATTTTTTTTATTACTCTTAGTTAATTATAATTAATAATAATTAAATTTAATTATAATTAATCACGATTAACAATAATTAATTAAAAATGACATATTTAATCATATTTGATTAAAAATTATTTTAATTAATTATAATTAACTTAATTAATTAATATTAATTACAATTAATTAAAATTAATATAAATAATTTTTTTATTAGATTTGAAGGATTTACGGGATTTGGCCGAACAAGCGCTCGGGAGGTAGAAAGTTACCTTCACAAGCAGCGAGCTCCTGTTCTGGTTCCGATCAAAATGTCGGACTTCCGATCGGAGAGGAGGGGAAAGTCCGATCGGAGAGGAGGGGAAAGTCGTTCAAGGAGGCGAAGTCGAGCAACCACGAACAGAGTCGGAGAAGCGAGCTCGGCTTCTTGCTTCCGATCAAAAGTGTGTAACTTCCGATCCTTCAGGCAGGGGCGGCGTCAGGCAAGGTCGGACAACCACGAAAGAGGCGAAGAAGCACGCGTGAGGGAGAAGGTTGTCTCCAAAGCGAGCTCCCATTCCTGCTTCCGTCAAAATGTCGTATCTTCCGTTCCGACGGGAAGGAAAGTCGTGGAAGGAGTCAAACAGCAAGGATGGAGGTAGGGCTTGGTTCCTTTCTCTCTTTTTCTCTCTCTCTCTTTCTCTTGGCTGATCGAAGGAGCAAAGTCGCACGACCACGGCGTCGAAGTAGTGACGGGAAGAGAGTGGGAGCAGGAGTTTAATCGGGGAGGAAGGAGATAGGGAGAGAAATCGGAGGGCCGGAGCCGAATGAGAGGGATCAGAGCGAGGCTGAAGGCCTTGTTTTCTTCGGCTTTTTAATGACGCAAGAGCGTTATGTGGGCGACGTGGGAGCGAAATGAAGTGAGTTCGGCGCCGCTGCAGAGGGATAGGTGACGGGATTTGAGCAGGATTTGCGGGATGGCTACGACAGAATCCGGGATTTGAGCAGGATATGGGCGGCAGCAGGTATGATGACTTGGCATTTTTTTATTTTCTGTGGAGGTCAATAGCCTGCCCCTAACAATCTTTCGACTTGCAATGGAAGAAGTGCGGTTGAACAGCAGAACCATGATCATCTAACCAAAGGCAGTTTTTTTTTTTTTTTTTTTTTAAGCAAAAATAAAGAAAATGATTTTGAAACAAAATAAAATATAACAGAGAATCAGTTGTAGCATAAGCAGCATATCAAAGCAAGATATAAGTTCATAAAAAACATAAATAAAAGAATGATATAAAAGTTGTACATGACTAGAAAATGCAAATCACCTGCAATAGCTTTTGTTTGTGCAGCAACTACGTCCACAGTTGACCCTGCTTGTCGTTGCTCAAGAGTCTCACCAACACAAGCAATCACTTTCAAACCTTGAGAGAGGGCATATGCAACTTTATCTCCAACAAACTACATTATATTAAAATTAGACATATAACATGGTTAGAAAGCAGTTGAGAACCACTAAGCTAATAAGAGGTAGAGGAGTTCCACATGGAGCAAGGACATACTAATATTAGGAAAAGCTAAGAAATGTATTACAATATATATACATTCATGAAAAAATGAATTAGCATGAAATCACCTCATTGGATTCGCCAAGCAAAGCCCTCCTTTCAGAATGACCGATAATTACCCAGGTAACACCAAGATTTACCAGCATCTCGGCGCTGTATGAAATAGAGTAAAAACTACATTAGTGAAGTAATAAAACACAGATAGATATCAGGTTTAAACGTGATGATAGGACTGATCAATTGCATGGCGGACAACTTAATAGTTAATATAGATGCAAATTTTGTTTCTTGGCTCTCCCTAGCTCCATGCTCTATAGCTAGCTTCATAGCATTGCGAAAATAGGTACAAAGAACACTGTATGATAACATCTGAAGGTATTAATTCCCTCCCGTCATTTTTGAACCGAATGGTTCCATGAGTAGCCCCAATTTTGTCCAACTAGGTCTTTGGTTGATCTCTAGGCGCACATTAGGTAATTTAACGCAAAAGTTCTGAGGGGGTTTTCTTATTGCACAATTTATAGAAATCTTGGAGTTTCTGTACTGCTCGACAAAAAATAAAATAAAATAAAATAAAATAAAAACGCTCTAGAGTATGGCTCCCAACATGGGGGAAAATTATTACGTCCGGACATCAATCCAGACGTCTCACATCACCCAAATACACCTGGGGCCCAGTGTATCCGGGTGACGTGGTGCATCTAGATTGGTGTCCGGACGGTCCGGTCACCGAACGTAATAATTCGCCCAACATGGGAGCCACCAACTAACATAAGATAACCTATGGTTGGCCTGGCATTAACCCCAACAACAGAGCCAACACCTAGGTTACAACATCATCATATCATAGAGTTATCCTACTAGTTGGGGCCTGCCTTGTGAATTTTTTTTCTTTCATTCACTCGTGATAAGTGTTGCTTATGATTATAAATCTTTTTAGGCAACTTTTATACAAGTTGTCTTTGATATACCTATTTTCTTTCTAGTCCTTCCAAATTAATTATATTTATGCATCTTCATGGCGGTGTCTTCTAACCATGGTTGAATCCAAGCCACCTCGATTATTTTTCACTATCTTATCTCCAATGTGTATTACTCCAATAGTTTTTTTCATCTGATTATTTCCCTATCTTTCCAAGTTCTACCATCCATCCTAATATTTATATTTCTATCACTCAATTTACCTACCAGTGACTTCTTTATCACCACCATCACATCATTCATAATCATTAGACTTATCCAACTATTTGGGACCCAATTGCTCGATATTATAAATCTATTATGCAGAAATTGTATCCATGTTATCTTTGATTACCAAATTTCTTGCCAACTCTTCCACATTAATTTTATGCACATACCTTATTTGTGCATCTTCTATCCATAGTAGTACCCAAAACAATTAAGACTATCATTCAATAGCTTATATCCAATGCATGCTACTCCCATAATCGTTTATGTAGAATCTTTTTTCTATTTATCTTCTCTAGTTTTAACATCCATTTAAATATTATATTTCCATTGCACTAAACTTAGCTAACAATAACTTCTTTATCACAATCATGATGTCATAATCATTAGACTTATCCAATTATTTAGGATTTAGAATATGAATTCTTTTTATCCATTCATTTTTTACTGTTACTTGAGACTGTAAATCTATTTTGCATAAACTTTTTGTTCTATACATACTAACTTTAATTTATTGAATTTTTTCTAGTCTCTCGATACTATTCTAAATACACATCTTATTGGTGAATCTTCTTCCTATAGTTGTACTAAAGCCACTAAAGATTATATTTCATTAGTTTATCTAAAATACATGCAACTCCTACAATCCTGTCAAATAACCATTTCTCAATATATTCCTAACTCAACTTAGCCATTAGTGTATTTTTTATCACCATCATTATATTGTTATAATCACTAGGCTTCTCCAACTATCTAGGATCCATTATTTTATTATATTCTCCATTTATTTCAATTGAGTGTCGCTTGAAATTACAATTCTATTTTACACAACTTATATCCATGTTATCTTTGGTCTACTGATTTTTCTCTCCAATCACTCCAAATAATTTTATCTACACATCTTATCTTCAAACTATAGTAGTACCCAAGACATTTAAACTTATATCGTTTACTAACTTATGGCTTATCTCCAATACACGCTACTCCCAAAATCATTTTCATATACATTTTTGAATACTTCTATCTAAGCTTTATCATACATCTTTTTTTTTTCCACGTTCAATTTAAATATTGTTGCTTCTTTATCACCAAATATATCTAATAATAATACATCCAGTATAATTACAATTTTTTTTAAAACTCACTGGTTTCCTCTTATCTCATAATACTCCTGAGACACGTCTCTATTTAAACTTGGTGTTAACTCAAAGAGTTATATGATATTCTATGTCAATATTCTGTTGTATGACACATCACAAGTAAGTTTGCTAATCATATATTTAGTCTTTGTTCTAAAAATCTTAAACCTATTACCTAATAAACATTTATACTATTATCCTAACTTTTTAGTTTCTTCAACATAGGTCTCAACAATTGAAACCAAACGAACAAAAAAATATAATATAATAAAGTACCTTAATTTGAATATCCTATCTAAACATAACTATGATCAATAAAAGAAATAAATAATTACTGTGATCTTGAATGCTATTATGTTATGAGTAAGATTTTTTTGGCCACTCAACAACAACTAATTTTAATCAAAGCCCCATAACGACCTTTACCAGTTACCAGCTTAAACATATTTTAGAGAAGCCATTCTTTATTCGTTAGGACAAAATCAATTCTTTTGATGCTCTAACATGCCTTCATAAGAATAAAAATCATAAGAATGCCTTTCCTGTACTCTATTACCCTTTTCTCAGCACAAAAATCACCTTCATATTAGATATTTTGATTCCAACATGATCTTTTTAGGTCTAGGTACAAATACCCTCTTCCTAATTTTAATGTATAACTCGTAAGTTTGATTCAACTATACAACAACAACATCAAGCCTTTATCCCACTACGTGGGGTCGGCTACATGAATCCTTTTTCTCCATTGTGTCCTATTAAAAGTCAAATTCTCGTTTAAATCTAATAAATAAAGGTCATTCCTAATATTTTCTAACCAACTCTTTTTAGGTCTACCCCTACCTTTCTTAACATAAGTCAAATCTAATACCTCTACTCTCCTAACCAGGTCATCGCAAGGCCGCCGTTTTATGTGACCAAACCATCTAAGGCGACTTTCTCTAATCTTATCTTCAACTATAATTAACATAATTTAATTATCCCTATTATTCTTAAATCTTAGCACCAAACTACTATCCAATAATATCATTTTTGTCTCCAAGATTCAATTAAATATATTTCTTAATAATTTATACTTATATTCATATGGACATAAGTCATTGACCATTGAACTGACTTGATCCACTCTCAAATCAAAACTAGCTTCCTTAGAAGTCAACTAAAGCTTCACATAACAAGAATCCGCTCGAGGCTACATTGCTAAAAAGTTTCCTAGGAGCTTGAATTACCATAGTACTTTACTCTAAGCTGTTAAACTTAACCCAAAGGCTCGAGATATCATCCATTCAAGAATATTTGCTTGAAATATTGGTCAACATGATGAGTGTACTTTCCCATAGTAGCAACTAATCGACAAGAAGTTTTCGTCTAAAGAACACATACAGGTTACTCGGCAAAGGCACACATCAACAATACATAATTGATTTATTCACTTATAGTAACTTCCAACTTACCAAGTGAACTCTTTGATCTCAAGTAATTCCTATCAATCTTTTCAAAACAACGAGAATTCTCCACAAAAATCCATAAAAAAACAAGAAAAATAGTAGATAAATTGTATTATTTGATGAAAAAGAAACGGAAAATATCAAGATACAATTGATCCTCTATTCGAGAGGAGGATCTATCTCTCCCCATTCTCTAGAGGCTGACCTAAGAGAGATCTCAAAGTTCAGCCAAATTCAAGATGCCCTAACCCTAGGAAAACAAACTATTTAATGCATACAATCCAAAAGAAAATCTTTAAATAATCCTTATATTCAAATTTCCCTCTAACATCCCTCCAAAAATCTTCATATTCCGACTACTGGAGCCTACGTTTTGAGCGGCACGCAGGGGAGGCGGACGAGTTTCGCCTCTATCTCCGCGAGCCTGTCCTGTATGGACCGACTGGACCGGTCTAACAATAACCCCCTTCCAAAGACCCACCTTATCCCCAAGTTGGAAAGATGTCACTCTCCTCAATTTACTTGTCATCACAAACGATGAGAACCTGAAGAATTCATTCCTTACACCTGTTCCCCGGTGTATACCCCTCGTCACATCTAAAATAGAGCCTCTTCACCCTCTTCTCCTGTAATTCAGTTTATGTGAGCTTCTTGAAGTTGTCCCTAGGTCTTCCTCCTACAGTCTTCTCCTTCAAAGTCTCCCGAAGAGTATTCGGTGTTGCTGTCAGTCTCTCCCCCTCCATCAACCTGTTGACGGTAAAGTACATTTCCATCTTGTAGATCCAACCATGGGCATCATTGTGAAACTTCTTAAGTAAAAGAAGCTAAACTCTTAAACATCGATGAGTCTTTTGGTGTAATTGTTGAAATTTTATTTAAGAAACTCTCCAGTTAAACGTGCTCATCCCGGAGAAATGCTAGGATGGATTACCTATTGGGAAGTTATACAAAAAAGATAAAATCGTACGACTCTTAGGCTAAAGCGGATAATATCTTAATAGTTAAGAGTTTGAGCTATTATAAATTATATCAAAGCAATACACCAGCTGGAAGATGGGAAATAAGTGTCATACAAGACAAGATGTTACGCCATGGGAGCCACCTCTTGAAACCTGTATGGGAAAAAGTGCTACATGACGGAAGCCACCACTTAATCTTGTAGGGGTCACCTCTAAAATCCTATATGCATGATGGATTATTCTGGATAAAGAAGCTGACAAGGACGTCAGTTACTTAACTGGAGGAGATTGAGAAACCCATTAAATAAAAGAAGCTAAACTCTAAAACATCGATATGCCTTTTGGTGTAATAGTTTGAATTTCATTTAATAAACTCTGCATTTAAGTGTGTTTATCCCAAAGCAATTCTAGGAGATAGGTGACCTACCGGGAATTTACAAAAACAAGACAAAATCACGAGGCTCTTAGGTCAAAACAGATAATATCTTGACAGTTAATAGTTTCGAATGTTATAATCCTCTCCCTAAAAAATAAGCATCTTCAGCTTCCTCACTCTCAGATCACCTCTGTTCTATCTATTCCCTTCATAATTTCCTATTCCCTAAGGGGTGGTTCCCCCTAAGTGTCACAATCATCCCTTCTATGTTCATACCCAAATCTTTCATCAAATTCTAGCATTCTCCTTTCAAATTCAGCAGCCCTTGGATCATAACAATACCCCCACCCCACCCCCCCCTAAATTCATCCCCCTTTGATCATAATTACCCCTTATGCTTTCAAATACCGCCCCCCTCTCCTCTCCAATTCAGCACCCCTTCATTCTTGCCCTACCCCCTCCTGCCTCTCCCCATACCGTCTTCATGGCCTCTCCCTAGAAATAGGCTCTATGGGAGGTATTCTTTCCTCTCCTTTTCGAATCTCCACCTACTGATCTTCTCTTTGCCTTATTGGATTAGAGTTTTTCCCGCTTCCTAGGTTGTCGGAGATTTCCCTTGCTTCTGAAGACGCCGTTTTAGGTTGGCCCTTGAGCAATTTTTTCAACATCTCTCTCAAGATAGAAAATTTTTCATCCATCTTCTTGTGGATGACTAAAATTTGACTTTTGACCTCTGAAAGTTTAGTGTGAAGATATGAAATTTTTTATTTCAACTGTCCGATCTCCCCTTCAAGATGTTCTTCCAAAGCATCCACTTTCTTGGCGGCCATCGATAACCGGATTTTTGTTAAACTCAAAAATCTGGATCTCGACCCAAAAAAATAGAAAAAACTCCCTTTTTCAAACAAAATTTTGCTGTAGGAATTCACAAAAACAGCCTAAAAAACATTCTGAAAAGCTGCTCTGATATCAATTTGATATGAAACACTTATAGTCAAATAATTCCTATCAATCTTTGAAAAACAACGATAATTCTCCGCAAAAATCCACACAAAATCAGAAAAACAGTAGATTATTTGTATTCTTTGATGAAAGGGGAACCGAAAATACCAAGATACAATTGATCCTCTATTCGAGAGGAGGATCTATCTCTCCCAAATCGCTAAACGCCGCTAGAGCCCAAACAAAACCAAAGAGAGGTATCAAATTTCAACAAAATTCAAGATGCCCTAACCCTAGGAAAACAAATTATTTAATGCATACAATCCAAAAGGAAATTTCTAAACATCCTTACATTCAAATTTCCCTCTTGCATCCCTCCAAAAACCTTCCTATTCCGACTACTAGAGATTGCAATTTGAGCGGCACGCAGGTAAGGCAGACAAGTTTCGCCTCTATCTCAGCGAGCTGGTCCTTCAAATTGCGGCACGCAAGTGCGGCAGACGAGTTCCGCCTCTATCTTAGCAAGCCAGTCCAAGACCTGCTGGGCCGGTCTAACACTCTCCCACCACATAATCAGCTAAAGTGGGAGCCCCTATCATTGTACTAAGTAATCAACTTTATAGTATTGAACCTGAGATATCTGTCAACTATAAAAAAGCGATCAAAGAATACACATAGGCATAAAAAAATTTTAGGACTTGGAACTGAGATATTTCTCTCTAAATTGTGTTTACTTGGCTTGGTTTGATCCTCTTTTTCTAGTATGAGGGGTTAGGTTGAGTTCTATAAATATCAATTTTTCAAGAGACTTTGTTTCTTTCTTTCATTTTGCTCATATGTTGATGTGATTCATTCCACAAGTATGATCTATGTTATCTTTCACCAAATAACTTTGGGATCAACACACTCTTAGGTCTGGTAAGCACAAATATGATGAAACCATAAACCAAAACATGGATCATCCAAACAATTGCTAGAGGTCACCGCACAATGAGCAGACAAATGATCACAAAACTTCAAAAGAGTTATAACAGATGGACAGCCATCAATGAAGATGATCCAAAACATCTTCAAGCATTTTCCATAAGCTCCACTTCCTTCGCTTCATGGATGATAATATACCGTTTCCATCGGAAACTGAAATCGCCTAACTATGAGGATTGCTGGAAAAAAAGTACCGCTAAGGCTCATCTTCTTTATCAACCCACAAAGAATAAGGCTCAACCAATAAAAACTTTTCCATTAACATCGTGGAGGCTCAGCCGTTGTTGAAGTTCAATATATATGTGTAGAACTCCTGCTCCTGAAGTTGGATATCGCCGACCATGTCCCTCATTTTGAGCAGACTATTTTTCTCCTCACCATTTCAAATGCATACCACCGACTATTCACCGCCTTAATCCATTGTGGTGGTCCTCCCACCTTCCACCGTGAAGTATTACTTTCTTTGCAAACTTAAAACATTATCTATTACTCAATTCATCGAATGCTTTGAAGCTATTAAAAAACTCTATGCACTTCTGAACAAGAAACAATGGTCGTACATTTTTCCAACATTTCATTACTCATTTTTAGAGATAAATGAAGAAATGTGCAAAATCATGCTATCATTTTCGCTTAGACAACACTTACCCAAGACCTTCACAAATTTCATATTAGTTATAATCTTGACTTATAAGCAGCCAAAAACATTAGATAGGTTGCTTGAGTTGGCAATAACCACCAGATTAGCATTAAAGAGTTCAATTACATGATTTTCGCTTTTAAGCCTTTCATTATGAGTACTCTAAGGATTTTGCAGCAACAACCTTGAGATCATTAAGAACGCAGTGTCATCATCAAGATAAATTAGCAGAAAAGCTACAACACCAAAGAGGATATCATCCTGAAAAAAAGTGAAATGGTAACAACAACCTTTGATACCTCAAAAAGAGAAAGGTCACCTCAAGATCAAGGTCAAAATGTAGTATACTCCTCTCTGAGTATCGCTAGTTGAAGTGGTCGAACTATTCATGATAAGGATTATTTTAATCGTCCATTATAGATGTGCTCGAAGTCGACTTCTTATGACTCATCTAAATATGCGGTCATTTATAAATATCACAATTTTGAATTTTGAAAATACGATGCGAGTTAGGAGAGTCCCCATCAATATTTTATTACTCATTTTAGAGGGAGATGTTAAATTTGTAATATCTCTGCTTGTTGGCCCTCAAGAAGTGCTTACCTCAGACCTTCAAAAGGTCCTTTTTATTATTCACTCTCCACTTATAGCAACCAAACACATCCGTCAAGTTGATAGAGTTGCAATAATCATATTAACATTAAAGAGTATAATTGCATGATTTTGGCTTTTAACCCTTTCAATATTAGCCCTCAGAATATTTGCATTGACATCCCTGGGATCATCAAAACAAGGAATGCCATCATAAAGACAAGTTAGTCGAGAAGTTGTAACAGAGGGTATCTCCCAGAAAATGTGATAGAGGCACCATGACCTATACTCCTCTTTGAGTGTAGATAACTGAAATTGTTGGTGCTTTTTGCAATAAGATGCTTCTTCAATGTCCATCATCGACGAGCCCCACACTAACTTCTTGAGACTCGTCTAAGATCACAATATATACGAAGAATTGCCACTACCTATGAAGTCTTTTTATCCCTTATAGCCATCATGTCACTAACAACACCAATCAAGATTGAGACAATTATAAGTTGGATGATCAGTATGATATGGTAGCAGAATCCAAGGGAGAAATTTTAACCCTTCTTATGGGGCCCAATGAAGAATTAATTCATTATGTTAGGAAACCAATTAAAGAAAGGATTAATTAGGAAAAAAATTCTACATTAATCCAAATCAAAGAGGGCAATATTTCCTAATTGAATCCAAATCAAAGACGAAAATATTTCCTAATTGAATTCAAATTAAAGGGGGAAATTAATAAAGAATGAAATCTGTTTTGGAGGGAATTTAAGAGATTATTTAATGAGGGATCTAGGGTTATTTTTCTTCATGCATGTTTTATTGAGTTTTCTGCTATAGTTTTTTTTCAATGAGGGCTTCCTAGTAGCGTCTAGGTTGATTGGAAGGGACAACCTACCTCTCTATTTGTAGATCGCTTGTATCTTTTTTTCTTGTTGAGTTATTAATAAAAAAAGCCACTATTTCCTCTAAATCTGTTATTTTTCACTATTTTTCTGTGAATTTCCTGCTATGTTTGCTGAAATTGATTCCAAGGCGTATCAAATTGGTATCAGAGCGGTGTCCCAGACTGAAAGCTAAAGTCCCCATCGCTAATTTTTGCTGAAATTTGTATAAAAAAAAAAACGTATTTATGCCTTTATGTTGCAAAATCTCATCCAACAGCAATTATTTTGTTATTGATTTCCTTGTACTAATAGGATATAAACACAAAACTAATATTCTACATTGATCGGTTAAACTTTCTCCATGAATGACCTAACAATAACTAAGAAATAAATCTTTTATGAACAAAGAAAAAAGTCATTGTCATTTGATATCTCCATTTTGAAAATAACTACTCGTTATTCTCATGTTTTTTAGTACGTAAAATTAAATAACTATTACTTTGCATATATTATATAAAACCTGAATGTGACAAATAATAAACCATTAGAATTAAAAGAAATAATATTTGCTTTGTTGACTGAATTAGCTTAAGGAAAGGGATGAGCATATTTTCTTGAGATTCATCACACAAAGCTTCAGTGTTGTTTCACGTAGATGAGAACTTTCATGCACCCGATGCATTCATCACCATGCAAAAAAAAGGAGTAGATCAAATAGAGCATGACATGCATGAATAGCATGCGTTAAAAATTTGCATGAAAATGCAGGTAAGTATAAAAGTGCTTATCTCATATGTTTTGCTTCTCTATTAAAGGCTATTTTAGACTGTTAACCATTCAAGTAGCTGCAACTTAGCCCTAAACATACCATCACAAAACAACATTTGAAAATAATATTTTTGATTGCGACTTGATAGAGAAAATATGGAAAACAGTACTTGGAATAATTAAACCTTACCTGACCTCCCCAGTGTAAGCACCTCCTTTCTTTACCCAGCAATTTTGTGCAGCAACATGAAAATCAGAACGCAAGAGACTTTGTACCAGAGGCAGAAACACAAAAGGCGGGCTTACAACAACATCTAAGATAAGACATGAGAACTATATCTCAAAGGTCCATTCACTTAAACGAAGTCAGAAAGCATGAACAAATAAAACCAACGTCAAAACAGATGCTGTTTACATTATAAATGGGAATGTTTAGTTGTAAGCTGTTAGCAAAAGGAGTGTTCTAAATCTTACTGGGTCTAGGTAGTTAGATAAAGTAACAAGCCATTATAAACAAAACAGGAAAAAAAAGCATTAACTATGCAATCTTTTTGGTGCTTTCAGGTTGAATTCAATTGCGATGCTTAATCTCAACGAAGTTCATGGCTGCTTATGTTGGTTTTCAAATTGGCATGTAACCCAGGAGCAACCCTCATTCTTTCTCAGAGAAACTTGAGATCAACAACAACAAATTTCAGTTGTGCACAAAATATGAGAGAAAGAACAGAAACCAACAAGAATGAATGAATGGGAAGAAAAAAGGGTCGGCTAAAGCTAATATGGCTATAAATTGTAAACAATATTTGTACTAATTAGAGATAACACAACATCCGGCACTCAACCGACAATAATGAATGATGAACTCATAGAGCTGAACCTATGAGGTAGGGGAAGAGGTTTAATGACAATGAACCCATCTCAAATTGTTGGGATGGGGGTAGTTGAGCTATTGAATCTTAGCATTGAAGTTCAACTTAATAAGGATAAGTAGTTTTATTTATCAGTTCAATAACCTTTACTTTTGAGTTTTGACAATATGTGTTAAATTTTCCATCAAGACAAAGGGTCCGTATCAAAACCATTCCACAATATCATTCAACATACAAGGATAAACTTTATTATCTCAGTTTGAGATTCAAAATAGAAAATGGCTAATTCTTAGTGCTCAAGTTTAATTATTCCGAAAAACATATCAAGTGCAAGAAGGGAGGTCATAGCGCATACCAACAACATCCTGTGAGGGGACCTTGGCATCATTCAGAATTGCAACAATTTTCTTGACCTCCTCCGTTGTTCCATTCTGCACAAAACTTTAAAGTCTGATAAAAACCCTTCGATCTGATATAATTACATGGAAATCAGAAAAATTATAAGTTCCGACATTAGATCACATAGCTTCGAAGGTTGCATCTAACGCGTAAATAAAAAACTAGGGCTCCAAATACTCGGAACAAAAATCAGATTCAGAGACGCAAAGACCCGGATCCAGGAAGACGTCTGCATCCGTGATCGGATGCAGCAAAACAAAAGAACCGATAACCAAATCATACAGCTAAAAGGGAAAAAAATGCATAAACATGGTGAAGCGTTTTAACTTGTGAGTCCAGCCAACGATTTCAAACAGTTGTAAGTGACTAAAAAGTGATAAGATAGACGATCTAAGCCACAAGAAAAAAGAACTGATTCAATCACTGATAGGAGGGAAGAAGAACAGCATGTACATTTACAATTGGGAAAAATAATAATCAAATCATACACTACAATTAAAAAAAAATGCATAAACAGATTTAGGAGTATGGACTTGCGCTTCCGGCGAACAAATAGGTAAACCATCTAATAGACGACCGAAAGGAAAAAAACATGAAGAAGAATGGATTCAATTACTGATAGGATAGAGAAATGAACAGCGTACGCATTTCCAGTTTCCACCGACGAAGAATTTCCTGCCCATCGCTGCTGCTATGAGGAGAAGATCAACTCCAATCCTTTGCTTTCGTCTGGTCGAGAAATTGAGAATGGAAACCGATAGCCCAAAATCAGACTTTGTAACAATGGTTTGTATATTGCAGGAGCCAGGTAATATAGTTTTTTTACTATTATACCCCTGCACATTGTGAAATCATCGCTAGGGGTCAAAACGACTCCATAGGTCCATTTTGAGTCGGACCTGATTTGATCCGGGTCTAAACGGGTTAATCCGAATCCGATCCAATTTTACAAACGGGACGGGATTTCTAATCCAGATCCGACCCGTGCAGGTTGCCTGGTTAATCTGACCCAACCCACAACCCGTTTACAAAATACAGGGTGATGGTTGCGCCAACGTGCGAGCGATCTAGGGCGGGGGGAAAGACTAGATGAGACCAGGTGAGACACTAAGACTGCGGTATTGCGGTGTCCGGGCGAGGCCAGGGGCAAGCACTAGCTTGCGACAGTGCTAGCAGAGTGCGGGGGAAGACCGCAGAGTCTGGGCGAGGCCAGGCCAGTGCTAGTGTGCGAGCGGACACGAGGGCTTGACGCGAATCCTGGTTAAAATTAAACCAGCTTGACGCGAGTAAAAATCGGGTTGTTCTCGTGTTGCTGGTTCAACCCTCGTTTTTTAAAAGGGTTGGAATCTCGAACCCGAACCCGACCCATATGTTAAACGGTTTGACCTCAACCCGAAATTTTTTGGGTCGGATTTCGGGTTAGGTCAGATTTTGACACCCTTAATCATCCCCAAAAGTTTTCCTCAAAGTTTCGAGCGGATGGTATTTAGCAGTAAAAAAGTATTCATATTTAGATGAAAATTTTAGATAAAATTTTTTACGCTATACATATACGAAATTTGCAAATATGTGTGCTTTTAAAATTAATATTCATTTTTACTTAGATTTAACTATAATGTAGTATATTGGTATTATCTAACATAGAAGACTTATATGAACTCAACATAATTAAAAAATAAAAAATAATAATGAAATTATAAGCAAATTCTGCATCTCATTATCTTAGTCATCTCCTACAAGGTAATGTAACATATTACTTGACTCAAGTTAATGAGAAATTATTCTATACATAGACCGGATGCAGAATGTTGTTCGTAGACCAACAAGAATTCGTCATGTCAACACTACCGAGTCGCAATACCAAGCGGTATTGAGCAGTACCGAGCACAGAGGTGACGTGGCGCATTCTAGTTAGTCTCCGGATGACGTTCGGCATCCGCACACAATAATTAATCCAAGTTAACTACCCCCATTTTGTCTATTGAGTTATAGATGACAGACTTTAATGATGTTCACCATTTTGTCAATTCATTTGTGAGTGATAGACTAAGCTCAATCAAAGCTCTATATGCAAATGCCTCATCAACTCCCGCTAAAAATAACTTAATTTGATATTTGGATTTGATGCTAAGCTCTGAGGTAAACTATGGAGCCTAACAATTTTACAAAAGAATAAGTTTCAACGTGCATTACATCAAAAATCTTTTTCAGGGCACAAAATGGGCCATCTTCGAAAAGTGATTGATCACCACAATAATCAATTCAATGCCGAGATGACATCTTGGCAAGCTAAGGACAAAATATAAGACAGATCCTCACAAATTGAATTTTGGATGTGGAATGTATTAGCCCATGTTTTGGGAACGGTCTCAGGTATGTACTAAAAAATCGTTTTAAAAGACAATAAGAAAGCTGTCTCAAATGAAACCTAAACATCACAATGCATTTTTTTTACAATTATCAATAATGAACTGTACAGTTGGCTAATCAATTCAACCTTAAGTCTAATATGACAGACTAATTAAGATTGGTATTAGCTTAAGCGATCTATGTTTCCATGTTAGTGATTCTATGGAAAATGTTGATGTGATATCTCAAATAGGGAAATTGATTATATATTTTTATAAATATCAACATTAGAACTCCAAAGAATGTGATTTCATCAAAATGATTAGGGTCAAACTAACATGAACATGTTTTTTTTTCTACACCAAAATTTTTCCCAAAAAAAGGGGATTACAACAAGGACCTAAAAACAGCCGAAGTCAAAAAAAAAAAAAAATCAGAAAAAAGAAACTTGTAAGCAAACTCAACAAAAAAATAGACAATCAAAGAAGCAGGAGCAAAGGAGCCAACACCGGACTTAGGGAATGGCAACCCCTTGCAACCACCCCACAGTCAGGTACGGACCATCAATTAGTGATAAATAGTCCAAAAACATCATCAGCCTACAACCCACACAAGCAACCACCAATTAGAGGGGCTTATCGCCAAGGTTACCAACAAGCCTGGGCCAACTGGAAGGTAAACAAGGAACCACCTCATCATCATCCAAAGTGCCAAAAAAGCCCATGGCATCGAAATGAAAGTAAACCCAAAAACTATTTCTTCTTAGATTTCCTTTTATGTCTCTTGACACCACCATTGAGTACCGCTTGATCAACAACACACCCTACCATGAAACTATACATATCATCATTTACATGGTCACCAAATTCATCCCCATCAACAACACACCCTACCAAAAACACACTCTGCAAATCCCTTTGAGACATTCACTATAGGAGACAAATCTAAATCAACACCACCAAGAGGCATGACAACTCATATAGAGAAGAGATGCGGTCTCAGATTTGGGAAAGAAACCCATATTTGAATAATGGGGGATTCAATTTGAACATCAAAGGTAGGAGACTACTTGAAAACTTTCATAAAATAATTATTCACAAAGTAGGAATGGTGAGAAAAAATACGACGTACAATAATCTAAGGCATTCACAAGTTTGATCAGAACATGCTTAGGGTTAAGAATAGTGACCCAAAATTAATCATTTAGCTTGAGGTTAAATAAAAATTTGGGAATAACCTCACGCGAAGGCCTACGAGAAAGAAATTTGCCTACTAAAGCAAACTCAAAAGGAGCTGCAAGTGCCAAAACTGCCTCATTGGAAATCCATAACGAGGGCATCCCATAAAATGAAGTGATTTTGAGTTTCAAAAAATTAGAGAAAGAAGAAGAACAACTCGATAAAGCATCATGAAAGGACCTAGAAGAAGGATTCTCCGCCAAAAAATTAGGATCTTTAAGCCGTTCGCCCTCCATCGAAAAGACGAGGAGATGGAAACCAAAAAAGAGCAGCAAAAACTACGAAAAACACAAGGAATTATGACACGAGACTTCCTTGAGAAGATTGGAGAGCACGAACACAACGACGGAAAGGGGAGCGTCATATAGAAACCCTAGCAGAGCACATCGCGGAAAGATATTGCTAGTAAGTAAACTAACATGAACATGTTTTAGACAATTTATTGTGCAAAATTAGGGTTGGAGAAAATAACGTACAATAGTATCTCACCAATTTTATATTAAGTTGCTATCTTTGAAAGTAAACATTCGTTACAAATGACTTTGTGAAATGAAGGTCTATGAATGACCTAGCAACTCTAGGAAGTTTGAACATTTTTGGAGAAACTAATATGGCATGGGAATGAGCACATATAAGAATGAGGTGGATGCTTTTGAAAGGGGCTCGTCAGCTATGTTGACAATGGAGCTATTGTTACTTGAACTTTTTCCTTGTGCGCGTCAAAATTTGCTACTTGAACTTGCAAATTTTATAGCAAGATAGTGCTATCATGTTGGTTTTTATTTATTTAATTTTTTAATGTCAAAATATAATTTAACAAAACATTCGATCTCAAGATTAGTTAAGGCTTCATTTGCAATGGTTTCTTTATTACTTCTTAAATCAATATTTTAGCACAAAAATTAAAATTTTTACTGCTTCTTTAAACAATTTTTTAAAAAATTGATTTTAGGCCTGTAATTTAGACAAAACTCTAAAATATTTCAGATCATTAATCTATCTCTAATTTAGGCCTGTAATTTTATTTATACATTTTTTTAGTGTTATTTTGATTAATACTCTATTAGACATACTATGTTGATTATTTTAAATAAATATTATTTATCAAATATTTACGTGTCTTAATAATATTTGAATTAAGTCATCTTAGGTATGTTGGATTTCTATCATAAAGATGCACGCTTTTGACTATAAGTGCACAAAACATTTAGAGATCATTTGGTCTGCCAAACAATATAAAAAAAATTTGATTGTAATATGAGTGCCTAATTTATGGCCATTTAGGATCCGATCATAACAATTTTTGCGTTATCTAGCTCAAATCATCAAAATGTTTATTTTCTCTCAAAGTTTGCTCAAATTGAAATTCAAAGGGTTCTAAATGCATGTAATTATAAAATTTCTAACTCAAGTATTGCATCATGATTTGTGTTTGATCAGATTAAATTTTTAACAACTTATCATTTGCTCATGTTTTTTAAAGTTGATATTCACATCGTTCAAAAATAAATAAAACTTTGAAAATGTTAGCTGTATAAACTCATAAGTTATGAAGCACGACCACTCTATAAATGTCAATGTGGACCTCCATTTCAGATATGAGTAGCGGCAATTATATGACAATTGTTGAAAGATAGTAGTCGGTCAATTGTAGCTAGTGGGGAGGTGTTAATTTGACTGACTATGATAGGGCAATGGTGTTTGGGTGATGACAATCACCAAGGATGATCATTGGCAACAATTGTCGAGCAAATCTCTCTATAGTTCCAACATAAAAGTCGATGTCCAACTTAAAGCTTAAACCCTTTTATATAAAAAATGCTAATCTTTTCACAAATTTTTTAAATGACATTTCGATTTTTATAGCAAAAAACCTTAATCTACCTGTCGGATAATTTGTTGATTCTTTTGTTTATAAATCTTTATTTGTAAGGAACTAAGGATTTAATAATATTATCTCATTTGGATTATTTTGAATTTCTCTCATTAAAATGCTCATTTTAAATATAAGATTTAGAGATTATTGATGCTTCAAATAATATCATGAAATTATTATCTCATCAAAGCATTTCATTTGACTTAAATTTGACTTCAAATTTAATTTCAAAATATTATGTCAATAATCATATTCATTCAAATTAATACATTGATCAGGGGCGGAATCAACTTTGATTTTCAGGGGGGACAAACTTATAAGACATATATGTCGGGGGTCCAAGAGGGCAGCGCCCAAATTTTGGTTTAAGGATATTTTTGGAATTCAATGATGAATTCTCTTTACTATTTGATGGGGGTGATTATCTAAAGATTATAGTAATTTAAAATTTTTAGGGGGGACAATTGCTTAAAAACACTTGTAATAAAGACTAAAAAATAAATGAAGATAAATAAATTAACTAAAAAATCATAATCAAATTTTTTTTTTTTAATTTTTTGAGGGACCACAAGGTGTTTCCGCCCCTGACATTGATGCCTGCTACTTAGTTTCATTTATCATAACCTTTCAAATGAAAAAAAAAATATAAGAAATATTTTGACGGAATTTTTTATAATATTTCCAAAAAAATTATCCAATTTTTTTAATATAAATATTTTACGTGGCGTCGACTAACACGACATGCAGACGACAAATGCGAAGCGATAAATAGTAAAATTATTTTTTGGCTATAATTAGTGAAATTACTATTCTGCTAATTTAATCAATTTCTTTTTTGTGGGAATATTTTAAAACTTTATATGATTTGAACATTAACAGCCCCAATGGAAGCTTCTGGATTATGCCACGTGGCAAGAGGCATTGTTTTCATTAGATGTATTCAAGAAACCTTCGTAATCAGAACGCTCCGATTTTAATTATTCTGTATTAAATGAACGGTCGAGATCAACAGGGAAACTAGGCGGCCCATTCCAGCTTATCACCGCGTCCTTTAAGACCGCGACGCGACGTATCCTTCGACTGAGACCACTTGATCTGTGATGGACGGCCCTAATTGCGTGACGTCAAAATTGTATTTTTTAAATATATTATCGCCGACAAGGGACACTAATGAGAATAGAAGGAGTCGTGAGGGTATTAGTGTAATTTAATATATCTGATAACGTCTATAAAAGAAGTTGGATGCTTCAGGTCATTTTCTTCCTACTTTGTCTTCATTTTGGTTCGAATGAGAGGTTGAGTGTCTCACGCATTTTGATTCTCCAATTTCTTCTGGTAGAGAAGGATCGAGGCGCTTCTTTTCGTAGGGTGAGTTTTCCTATACCTATGCTACTTTTTTATTGGAAATTTCATCTCAATTTCTATGAATCGAGCAGAGCTTGTCTGATTTGTAGTTTTTTAATGACATCGTCGGTTTTTTCATGGGAAATCCAGGTCCGACGGGTAATTTGACTTCGACGAAAGGTTTTACGGCGCTCTGTCATGTTATTAGCAAAGGAGCCCGACGTTCAGGTAAGAGACTCGCGCTCTCTGCTGGCTTTCTCGCATAGCCGCCCGATAAAGCTAGGAACGCGGAGGTTGGATCGGAGTAGCGTTGGCAGAGTTCGGGGAGGAGGATTAGATGGCGACTGTAGGATCTGCGCTGCCTCCGGGAACCTTTTGATGAGGCTTGCTGGCGTGGAGGGGAGCAAGTTCGTGGGACAGATTGGGGGTTTCAGCCACGAGAGTGAGCACGATCTAGCGGTGATGGTGAGTGATTTTCTGGAGAACGGGAGTGGCGGTGCTGATTTGAGGTACAGTAGTGACAGTGATTCCGGGATTCCCGATCCTAATCGCTTCGCGGAGAAACTCCTGGTGAGCTTTCATTTCCGCAAATAGAATTAGCCTTTAACCTTCCGGTTTTTCCGCGTTTTTAGTGGATGAATTTCTTTTATACCTTAGTTGATAATCGATTATTTTGATTGTGCCGAGAGTTTTGCTTTCCATTACATGCGTGCCAAAAAAAACGCTATTTGTTAATATAACGCCTTAATGTGAAGTCATATAAATTATGGGATATTTATGTTTTGAATTTTGATATCCATGTCGGAGACGATTTATTTTCTTGGGCTGGGCGAGCGTTCGTTCGGTGGGCGTTTGATGGATTTTTCTTTGCATAACCCGTGTGCGAATTGCTTTCTTTGTCATTTTTAATCTGATGTATTAACATGAAACGATATAATTACTGGTTACTTGGGTTTTTATATCCATTTTAGAGACCATTTATTCATAATTTACATTGCTAGAGAATCTTAGATGTTAATTCAATATCATACATTAATTGCATGATGAGTAATATTTCAATTTTCTTAAATGAAAGTTTGAAAGCAAATTAGGTGATTTTGCATAAATAGCTTTGCATTTGATTAGTGGCTATATAAGTTGACGTGTAGAAGCTTGATTTGCATAAAATCATAATTGGTGGAACAATTGAGAAGAAATTGAGAAGATAAAAAAGGGGGAGAGGAACAAGAAAAGGAAAAAAAATACAAGTTTATTTTCCGGAGTTTGAAGAATTATCTCAATAAATTGCTGATGCCTATTGAGGAATTTCTGAAGTAGATGATTTCTAGTATTTTTTTTAATATTCTTTTTTTCTCTCTTTTAAAATTAATTTCCCACATTTGTCTTTAGAGACATGTACTTCTTGTTTTTTTTTTTTCTTTTTTGAGTGAGACCGTCCTTTAATTTTACACCTTGATTGTGCATCTTTATTAATGCATCATATACTATTACCTCTACCGTGAATATGTTATGCCAAACTACTTAAATTTTGCTGTTCTTTCTAATGATGTTTGATTTTTTTTTACAATTACAATGCGATTCCTCGCTTTTACTATTAGATTGATGATTTTATGGCATAATGTTAGGTGTACTCTTTTCCTAACAAGTGATATCAGATTGGATGTTTCTGCAAAATATGACAATCATAAAGTTCAAGATTGTGAAATTTAATTGCTCGAAAAATTTTTGAGTGATTTTACATAAAATATTTACCTTTGCATTAGATTTTTAGATATATAACCTGATTCATAGAAACTTAATTTTCAGACATGAAAGCATGAGTCAATATTGAATTTTATGTGAAGGACTTGGCAAAGAATTAAGAAGAGAGAGAAGGGAGAGAAAGAGAAGCAAATCACAAGTAGTTTTTTCAAATAATCTCGATAAAATTATGATAACGTTTTGTGAAATTTCTGAAGCGTACAATGTTTTAGTATTTGTTTAATTTACTTTCTTTGATATCTCTTATAAGTTATGTTCTTTTGTTTGTCCTGAGAGTTTTTGGGCTTTTTTTTTTTTTCTTTTTTGAGTTAAGGGTGTACCCAGATTTTTGAAATGGTTAGGGAATATTGTTTTGTTGTACATCAAAATTTCGGCTTATTTGTTAACGGATATGATTCTCTTCCATCTATTGTGGATGTAGGCTTAGTTAAGTCGAATCATCTAAAGTTTGAAATTATCTATTTATTGCTCGATATCTTTCATGGGTACTTTTTGATCTTATTTGCTATTCGATTGATACTTTTGTAACAAAAAGTTTAAGCGTACTCTTGTCCTAAGAGAAAAATCTATCTAGTTATTTGATTGCTGCGGGTGAACCTATATAAGTTCGAAAGTTAGGTGATGTGGGGAGAATCACCAAAGAGGCATGATGGAGAAGAAGAAGAGCTAAACAGCTCTTGGAGACCAAAAACAGTGAAAACTGTTTGAAATTCCAAAAATACAAATTCATTCTCTTCTTCTACCTATAGCAACTATTTATAACAATATAATAGAAATGCCTAGAACTCTCTAGAAAAAGGTACTAAATTAGATAAGCTATTCCTAAGTCTTGATTTAACTAATATGCTCGGCATCATTCTCCTCTTGTTTGAAGAATTTGGGACTATCAGTCCTAGTGGTAGTTAAGCTGGCGGTGGAACTCCTGAGCTTGGGTTTGTATAGTTTTGTTTTCTACAATTTGCACTTTGTCTCGGCTTTGTGTCTCTCCATCTCCTCAAGAATTCTTATGGTAAGCTCATCCTTGCCGTCCTTCTCAAAACCTAATATCAGAGGAGTGTAAGTAACAACATCAGGCTCTATCCACTTTGCTTCCATTTGCACCTTAGCTCCATTGCTTCTTCCAAAATTCCATCTTTAGCATAGGCTGAGATCAAAGAACCGTACGTGACTAAACTCGGAGGAATACCATTGGCATCCATCTCCCCAAAAACCTCCATAGCATGAATCTGCCTCCATTAATTTAACATCTACAGTAACTGAACTTTGGCCTGAAGTTCCAGCACCAACATGAACAACATCAACCCTTGGGAGATTTCTAAAAGCCTTCATGATATTGGATCCATCAGTTTCATACACGATCAAAGTGCCCTTCCGAGAGATGTAACGCCGGTTGCGCATCTTCCCTTCCCAGGACGGATCCCAAACGAACCCATGGCTTTCTCCGCATCCGCATAAGCTCCCACCTGCTTCAGGATCTTGATTGCTGATGAGGTTTTCTCAATGGATTCCACAGAATCGAAGAGAACAAAAGGAACCTCCTGGTGGTGCACGTGGAAGCAGGATCGACAGTGCAGTCCGGACAGACGCGGGAATGGGTTTGGGATGAATTTGAGACAGCACCATTCGAGCAAATACCTGGTTGATGATGAGTTGCTGATGCTGTATTCCACATAGGGTTTGTCTTCAAATGAGAGGGTGATCTGGACAATACCGGCAGGGTAGTGGAACCGAGTGAAGGGAATCAAGTGAAGGGAACACATGGCGAAGACGGTCAGAATGGGATATGGGAAAGAGGAAAGGGGCCAGTGGATTCTGGGTTAGCAGGATTTTTATTATTGTCTGCAAAATCATTGACGTTGGTGATACTGCTGCAGCGGATATGATGGCTTTCTGAACTCTGGAAGCTCGGACTAGAGAATAGAGGAGGATGATTCGGAGAAGCAGGGTACTTCTCGCTAATTTCATAAAAGGGGTTCTCCGTGGCTTCGAGTGCAGGGTCGGGCGTGGCATCGCGGGAGCTGAGCGGGGCGGGGACGTGAGCGGGAATGCGGTGGGAATTGGAGCGCGAGAAGATGTCCGACGGGATGGATATGGTCGTTGGGGACGAAGACGACGAGGATCTGGTTGCGAGGCTGTGCGGGTGGATCTGATGGGGAAATCGTGTGCTGGAGTGGAAGCGAGCGCGAGCGGGAAGGATTGCGTGGGTGTGGATGGGCGCGGGAATGGGCGGATGCCTGCTGTCGCGAGTGGAGTGGACGGCGGGCCTGGCCGTTCGCGTGAACTGGACAAGCAATGTCATAGATTCAGATCGACGATGCGGCCGATCGTGAGGGACGCGGCCAAGGTCGCGGACGGGGAAATCGTGTGTGGAGCTCCGATGGTATGGTTGCCATCGGAGAGCGATTCGCTGGTATGATTGTCAGCCGATGGAATCGCTGGTATGGTTTCCAGCGGGATGTGTAGATTCGCCGGTATGGTTGCCGGCTGGTGGAGGCTTCGAACGTCGGCGACAGCCTAGCTTCATACATGGCCTTCCCCAAGCATCCAAAACCCCGATCGACCTCAAGGGTTGATGTAGCAGCAGCCCAGGGCCCTGATCGACGTCAAGGGTCATACCTCGCTCTGATAGCATCTGATGTGGGGAGAATCACCAAAGATGCATGATGGAGAAGAAGAAGAGCTAAACAGCTCTTGGAGACCAAAAACAGTGAAAACTGTTTGAAATTCCAAAAATACTAATTCATGCTCTTCTTCTACCTATAGCAACTATTTATAACAATATAATAGAAATGCCTAGAACTCTCTAGAAAAAGGTACTAAATTAAATAAGCTATTCCTAAGTCTTGATTTAACTAATATGCTCCGCATCATTAGGGAATGTCTGGCCTTCCATGGATGGTCAGTTTTTTTCAATTACATTTCAGATTTGGCTTTCTAAATTTTGATCTCGAATTTTATATGGCATTAGGTTTTGACATTTTGTTAGCCCTGAAAGTCCTACAACTAGATTGTAATGTAAGCTAGACTTCCAATGCTTAATATAGAGTGACCATAGGTTTTGTTGGATTATATATGTCTATTTACTTAATAATGATTAAATTTGACATTTAATCAGTCTTATTCAGAAGAATATCATTTTAAGTTATGATCCTAACCTTCTGATTTTTTTATTATGGGAAATATTTCAAGTGTATTTGCTGGTGGGAAATTGAACTCTTCTGTTAACTTTAAATGATTGACTACCAACTGTTACTAGATTGCTATAAAACTTTATATGATTGACGATTTTAAGTTGTTGACTCTAATTTTTTATCTTGTGAAGAACTAATGATGTGCTCTTAGAAATATAATTACCTTGGAATCCACCAAGATTGACGGGTATTGCAAATCACCCTCCTCGGGCTCCTCTCATAAACTCACTAAGAGATCAACATGAACTCACTAAGAGATCACAAGAACATAAAATTTCATTATCAATAATTCATCATCCCCTCTCCAAGAGGAGGGAGAAGGCTTAAATAGCCAAATACATGAAGAAAAATAAAAAGACACAATTGCCCTTCTGGCAAACACATGACGAGGCCCTTAAGCAAGGACATAAATGGAAAAAAATACATAAGACTCATAAAACATAAAATAAAATATATCAAATACAATAATAATCAAAAGTAGATCGTGGCCGTAGATCATGGATCTTCTGATGTCCTCATCATAATTCTTTATAATCAAATCATAATCAATTTAGTGAACCTAAATAAAATTGTCTTCTCTTCTTTCTTTGTTATTTTTGCTCCTAGTTGTTGGATTAGGTTTCACCTACTTCTCTCATACAGAAGTTTTTGGCAGTTTTTTTAATCAATCTTTAGATGAAAAATACCAGATAAATTTATTTACTTTGGTATGCGAATGAAACTGGACAGAATTTTATTGTACTAATATATTTCTTCATATATTTTATTAATCTACTGTTCTGTATCTTTTGCAGTGCCTTAAAAAATCTGTTGATCAGTTTGAGATTACACTATCATCATCTGTTCAAGCTCTGTTGTTCTCGATCTATGATACTGACCTTCTTTGCTCCAGCACCGGCCACTGCAATGGTAGGTGCATCAAGCAAGCACTGGTCAAACTTCTTCACCGTTCTGGCTATAATGCTGCAGTCTGCACTTGCAAATGGCAAGGCTTTGGCAAAGTCCCTGGAGGTATATCATATATGCAGTACCAATTAAATTCATTTTGCATACTTTGTTTATTCCAACAACAATTGAGCATTAAATCCATCTTCACTTCTCGTTTACTAATCTCAGGTGATCATGAATACATTGACGTAATTCCTAGTGGCAAAACCGAAAGTTCTGAACGGTTAATCATCGACATCGATTTCCGAAACCACTTTGAAATAGCTCGAGCTGTTCCATCTTATGATGCAATCTTGAACTCTTTGCCTTTCATTTATATTGGCTGCATCACTAAGCTTAAACGTATATTACAAATCATGGTTGATGCTGCAGAATTCTCTCTTAAACAGAACTCCATGCCTTTGCCTCCATGGAGGTCACTTGCATATTTGCAGGCCAAGTGGCAATCCGAATATGTAAGGAATTGTTACTACCTGGATGGAAAGAGCAACCTTCTCTTCGATTCATACGATCATAGGCAGTGCATTGGACACCTTAATAGAATCAAGTCATCTCTTTATTTCGATTGAAGCCAAGATCAGGCTTATGAATTGAGGAATTGTAGAATCTTACGCGGTTTTTAGTATTGTTTTCTTTCATTCATTCTCTTTCAGATTTAAGCAGTTGCAGGTTCAATAAGCTGCCATTTTGTGAAGGCAGCAAGCAGTTTTGCAATTTTTTTTTTCTCATCTACCATCTGTTTCATTTACACAAAATCTATTAGAAAATATTTGTCAAAATTGGGAAGGAGAAAGAATCTATTTCCTTCTTCTAGAAATGTTGTCGTCATATAAATATTTGTCTGATTTGTGGTTCATAGATGATTGGATGATTGCAATTTTATGCAAAATGTAGTTATTAGAAATATAAAAATTTTAAGGTGTTAAGAGTATTATAATTTGTTATTTTGAGAAATTTTTAATAATAATTATTATTTTTATATAACTTTTACATTCTAATTCAACTAATTGTGAAAAAATCTGATTGATTTGATTTAGTAAGAAAATAAATATTATGGTGATATATAAATTAAAATAACTAAAAAAACAAAAAATAAATCAAAATATCATGATGATTATAAAAAAACATTAAATTTAATGAAAAATTAGTTTTATATATGGCAACTTTTTCCTTAAAAAAGTTACCCTTAAATAGTGTATTGGTTTGCATCACATGCATTTGCTTGTCAGACTTCTCTTTGAATTATGTGTTTTGGTCCTTCTTCAACAAATAAAAGAAATTTTCAAATCATTGAATCAATGACATTCACATATCCAAATCGTGTCATTTATGGAATTATAAGGCTGCTTTTGAAAAACTACTCCGCATTTGATCAAGTTTTTTTTTTTATGATAATTTCTTTCATGAAATTCTACAAAATTAAATAATCAGAATTAGTTAACTTCTAATTTCTTTTATATGTCTGAGTTTTATTTATTAAAATTTTAAAAGTTATTGTCAATGTATTAATATTATATATAAACTTCAATATTAAACTTTTAAAAATAATGAAAAGGGTATTTACAAATAAAATATAAAGGACTTCCGGTATCACATGGAGATTGAGCAGAATTCTGGCGTGCTTTGGAAGTCGGGCAGAATTCCGGCGTCCTTCGGAAGTCTGACAGAATTCTGGCGTCCTTCGGAAGTTGGGCAGAATTTCGTCGTCATTCGGAAGTCGAGCAGAATTCCGACGTCGTTCGAAAATTGGGCAGAATTCCGATGGCGGTAGTCGAGGAGGAGTTTCTTCCCTCCTAATTTTCTTCTCTTTCTCTTATCCTTCTTCTTTTCTTCTTCTTCTTCTTGCTTGGATCCCCTCTCAAGAGAAATGAGTGGTCTATTTATAGATTTATGGAATGACATTGTCCGTAAATATGTGAGAGATCAGAGGTAAATGGGGAGTGGTTGGATGGACGGCCGATATTGAATACTTTGATCGTGGACCTTTCGTCTGACATTTGAAGATCTTAATGATGTTGGAATTCAGCGATCTTGGGCTCGTTGGATTCTTCTCGTCGAGCCGTTCGATTCGAATATAAGCACTTTATGTTTGGAAACCGTTTGGTAACTCAAATTGTGGTTCAAACTTTCTAACAGCGTTTCGGGTTCTTGATTTGGACTCTTTGGGCTCGGATTGAGTCGAATTTTGTGTCGTTGGGTTTGTATTCCCGAGACGCTCATTTTGACTATAAATTTTTTGCAATCGGAGTTCAGGTGATCCCGGTTTTAATTTTCTAAGTTTCCAGCTTGATTTTGCCTCGAGATTCGTGCCTGATCAAAATGATTTTTTGAGGATATATCACTCATAATAATTCTTATTATTTTAATCTGATGCAGTCCTTAGAACATCTTAGTTCTCAAGATCGAAGCACTGTTATTTGATCCAATAAGAAGATGTGGAGATCTACTTTTGGCCCAATCCACAAGGATTAGTGAAAAAGCCCAGCCCTAAGTTGGGACTAAAAGCCATCATTTAAAATAAAAAGAATATAATACTTAAACTATAAAGATCGAAAGAAAAAGATTAAGATCAACTTGCAAATATTTTTTAAAAGACTACTTTTATCTAAAAATATATTGATTTTGAGGCTAAATTTGAGAAATATTTTTTTTTTCATATTATGAGAAATACTAATTTGATTAAATTCAACAAGTTTGATTATATTTGTTGCAATAAAAAAAAAAATTCTATGTGAATTATTCGGTTATCCAATTCAGCCAAAATAAATGTATTTCCATAAAACCTAATGAAAAAACATCTCCCTAATTGCACTAAGAGTTTTTTTTTTGGAACGGTTGTGTCTACCCGCTGCCACCTTCCGAAAGAAGCACTTGGCAGCGTAAGTATTCCCTCGGCGAGTCTACCAGCAACCAGCCCCACAGGTGCATGACCCACAGTTATTTTCTCTCATGAAAGAGTCGTGCCGTATGAGGGGGCATTTGAACTTAGGATGGGGGGTTATTGCGCTAAGGGTAAGTGACAGAGAAAAATCTCATAAAGCTCTAAAACATTTGTTATATTTGAAAAAAATAAAAAATTTAACATTTTTGTATAGTACTTATAAAATAATTAACATAATATTATAACAAATTTAATATTTTTAATAAAAATATATTTAGTAATAATTTATTAATTTTTTTATTCCTCATGCGCTTTCATAAAAATTCTACCTAAGCTAATTTATCCATTCGTCTTCGACCTTGAAAATTAGCAAAACTCATAATACAATTTCGCCCTTAGCCTTTCCAAACCAAACCCCCCACCACCTTCCTTCTTCCTCCATGGAAGAAAAACCAAAGCGTCAAGAAAACAAAACGCCGAGAAAAAAAGACGCCACCTTTAAACTGAGCTCCGCCGTCAAAGGCCTCCGCTTTGGCGGCCAATTCATCACCAAATCCTTCACCGTCCGCCGCGCCACCACGCCGGAACTCCTCAAACTCCTCAACTACCCTTCCCCTTCCTCCTCCTTCCCTTCCACCATCGCTTATCTCCCAACAACCTTCACCATCCTCGCCCACGAAGCTTACCATACCCTTACACTTGGCCTCGGCACTCGCCGCTCCAAAGCTCTCCTCTTTATCTTCGATTCCGAATCCCTCTGCTCAGCCGTCGAACGCTCCTGGACTCCGGTCATCCCCCTCGGCGACGTCAACCGCCGCTTTCTCCGAGAGCTCGCTGGCTGCGAGATGGCGCGATTCAAGTTCAGAAAGGGATGCCTTACCTTCTACCTTTACGCCGTGCGGCGGCGAGGGTCCCCCGGATTTGACCGCGCCGATGATCTCAGGGCGCTGGTTGAGTCTGTCGCAGCGTTGAATGATTTCTTGGATTATACAGCCATGCTCGCCATGCCGAGCCAGAGGAGCCTTGGGGACTCGCCGCAGCTGGTGGCTGCGGTTAACTGATTTGTCAAAAATCTTTCACCGTTAGCTTAAAGTTGGAATTTTTATGATATTTATCTTCTGTTTCTTTGATTTTTGTTGTTTCACTGAGATTTGAGGTTTCAGATCTTCTCTGCAGCTCATTTTGAGGAAGATGAAGTGATTGACGCCTTGACGCTGTATTGCTTTTTTTAGAAAGTAACTTCGGAAATAAAAATTTTATAGGAAATTAAGAATGTTTTGATATATATTTTTTCATGATTTTATTATAATTTTAATATAACACGGAATATTAAAACCTTTAAATCACATTTTACCTTTCATAAAAAATTATTAAAATAAATATATTAATAACTGATACGTCATCACAAAATAATCTTGATTGAGCACGAATCTCAAAGCAAAATCAATCTGCAAACTTCAAAAATTAATTTCGGGAGCATATGAACTCCGATTTCACCGCCGCGAATACTCCTGGACGCAACAATAACTAATTTGAGAATATTTATAACCATAAATTGTTACTTTTATTATAAAATATTTAAAATTTCATTCATAAATATTTTAAGGCAAAATAATAAAATTTAAAGTTATTTATGTTAAATAAGAGCAACACATCTATAAAAGTCATAATAGCAATTTTTACATAAATTATATAATTAATCTTGATTTGAAAAATCTTGATAACAAATATATTAGAAAATTGAAATATCATTAAAAATTCCTGCTTCACCCAAATTTTAGCTGACAAGTATTTCACAGAGCACTATGGTTTCCAAATTAGAAAATTTCAAAATTAAATTTTAAAAAATTTACAAATATTTTTATATTAAAAAATAATCCTACTAAAAATACTCTCCTTAACCACCACAAAATATTCTATCATGCAAAAAATATCTTAACATATATATTTTTCCAAACTATAGAGTGAAATTATGAAATTTAATCCAATATATAAGAATTAAGAATGAATGATTTTTTTTTTTCAATAATTGAGGCAGATGTTGATGAGATAACTTTACCAATTTCTTTATTTAATTAGCATGTTTTTAATGTGTTAGGTGACTGAAACCTAAAAGTAAAACCATCTGCTGTTTCCAGGAAATTGCACGGCTCACAAATTTCTAAATTTAAATTATGAAGTGCTCTATTTTTTTTATTATCTAAACAAACTAATATTGGCTCTACTTAGCCCTCTTAATTGAAATTCTAATCTAGTTGATTTTTAGTTTGACCAAATTTACATATTGAGCTTAGATTTTGCAATATAGAACACAAAAATAAAAAATAAATTCGAATCACTTAAAATAATTATTAATCTGATCTCTATGATTGTTTAAATCTATGAGTTCTCTACAACTCAAAATGTCTTTAATATATAGAATAAAGATTTATTTATATTTTTAAAGAATCATTTTGATCCCTTAAATTAGAGAAATCAAATTAACCCACCTTTAAGAAGTCGAGGGATCGAAATAATTCTTTAATATAATTGAAGATTATTTTGATCTTTCATAAAAAATCAAGAAATTATTTTCATAATTTTCTCTATATTTATATACAGCAGCTGAAAGAACAGTCAGGCTCTTGCTTTAATTATGTACTTGGCAGGAACTGAATTATTAGCAGCTATTATTGAACAAGGATGAATCCAAATGAAGACATGAGTAGGCCAACATCATAATATAAGTAGATATAATAAATCCTACTTACCAAAAGTTGTGTTTTATACAAGCATGGGAAAAAGAAATCATAATAACCTTCAAGGGATCATATATAAGTAAACTTCACAATAGAATAAAAAGTTTTGAAAGACTTAGGATTCATTTGGGACGGTTTTATTCATGTTTCTTAAAATAATTTTTTAATACAAAAATTAAAATATTTATACTAGAAAGTTGCTTTAAGAACCATGAAGAAAGTCGTCCCAAACAAAGCCTTAAGTTTCGTTTGGGACAGTTTTCTTTCTGATTCTTAAAACAATTTGTAGTTAAAAATAATAATTTTTGTACTAAAAATTTACTTTAAGAAGCAGTAAAAAAGCCGTCCCAAATGAAACCTCGCTGGCATAAACTGGCCAAATAAACTACTGCAGAAATATTCTTGGATTGCAAGATCCTTCTTCAGCTTATTTGAAATCATCTTCCACGCATTAACGTACATGAACCACAAATATCATAATAGATATTAGTTGAATTTCATGTGCATTAGATTAATAAGCCAAAACTTAGCCTAATGAAAGACATACAGCAAGCAGGATAAGGCTGCCTGCCATAGCACACTGGTTATGAATAATCAAGAGTCATAGTTGAAGGAATTAATTCACTATAAGTTAGGGATGGCTTTTCACAACTCATAGTTGAAGGAACTTCGTATGATAATTCTTTGGATAAATATTAGGCCATCTAAGGTAGGGGTGTCAATTTTTGACACAACCCGAACCCGATCCGAACCCGATCCGAAAAAATCCAGGTTCGAGTTGACCCGAACCCGAAACGGGTCGGATTCGAGTTGAACAAATCAACCCGTTTTAAAAATCGGGTCGGATTCGGGTTGACCCAGCAACCCGAAATTGACACGAAAACTCATATTTGACCCGAAAACCCGAGATTGACCCGTTTTTACCTGATTTTAACCCGAAAATCGAATATTGACCTGATTTTAACCCGAAAATTAGAAATTTTATGTCAACTTCGGGTCATTCGTGTCGGGTCAGGTTGACCCGGACCCGAATCGGGTCGGGGTCGGGTCCGGAAACCTGACCCGTTTTTAAAAACGGGTCGGGTTCGGGTTGACCCAAACAGTTCCGGGTTTGACCCGAACCCGACCCGCTGACCCGAATTGACACCCCTAATCTAAGGTTGAGACAACTGAGTCATTGCTCTCCTTTCTCCTACCAACAAAGAGGACCATGTACGATCAATGAAGTATAATCACATTCTTACCATCTGACAAAGGAAGAATTATATAAAATTGTATTTAATTTGTCCATCAAAAGAAAAGAATTTGTATAGTAACCATGATGTTTATCAAGTTTTTGTCTCAATTCAGTCAATGGAGTAAGGAGGTGAGGATGAAGAAGCTAACATTACTTCCAAGGTTTAAAATTGTGCAGTTGGGTATTGAGGCGTTTTTCACTTGTGAGGCAAGGCGTAAGTCTTATGGTGTTTTGAGGCATAAGTCTCAAAATTCAAAAATTGTGTAAAGTGAAAATAAATATTAAAAGTGATTTTTTGTATAATACTTAAATAATATGTTAAATAATGACATATTAACTTTCTATTGAACTATGAAGTGACAAATAGACATACATATGAATTTAAAAATTGCAGAAGACGTAAAGTGATAAGTTATAAATTACGTGAAATAGAATTGAAATCCAATATTACAAGAGCAAAATAACATGAAATATAGGAATTACGTAGAAGTTCATTCTTTTTAAGTTCTCTACTCATCCACATTTAATTCTAAAAAAAAGCTAACATAATTAACAACAACTCAGAAAGCATCTATATTGTTATCACTAGGGTCTTTATTTTAGTTATCATCATAACAAATTAATCTCTTTCCTACATCATTCTGTGAAGTTCAATGTCTCTCAATCTGTTTCCTTTTCATTTATTTCACTCATCTTTCTCTTTTATACATATTTTTCATTAACATAAAAATGAGAATAATACTCCAAATTTTTTAGAGGAGGTGGTGGTGGTGTGCAGTTCAAGTGATTCCTGGTGGTGGCTACGACAAAGGCGCAATGGGCTGGAAGTCAAGGTGGTTTAGAGGAAGTTGTTGCGGCTTGTGGGTGCATGAAAGCATGATTTGTTTGGAGCTTTAGTTTAGGATTTAGGTACATTTTAATAAAAAATATATATAAATCAGGTGAGGTGTATGCCTAGGCGGATCTCAAGGCGGGCCTACGCCATGCTGAGGCCCAAGCCTCATTAAAAAAGCTCAATGCGTAAGACTTAAGGCGTTTTTCAATGAAATTGCACTCGCCTCATATTGCGCAATTTTAAACAACGATTACTTATGCTGACAATGAGGATGAAGGTGACTGTTGTTTCGTTGATTATGAATGAATTTTCATGTTTTGTATCCTCATGTGCTTTTGTACCCTTCTAAATTGCTGGTTGAAGTCTGTCTAAATAATCATGACCTATCTCAAATGAAACTAACTTGAGCATATTGAGAATCAGTCTAGGATTGGTTAGGTTGTGCAGCTTTGAAAATCATATCCCATTTGGGTTTAGGGTTCAACCAGTCTTTCCCTTATAATGTCAGTGTCTCTACCTTGCCCAAGAAGAACAATTTTATCATTGATTGTAGGATGAAGTCCTAAAGCCAAAGTGTATAAATAGAATCAAGCTGCAGTACAGACATCAGACCCTGACCAAGGATAAAAGTCCAAGGATAAGAGTACAAAGTAATTAAAGACTGTATCATTCTGGAATTGACATCACTTTTTTAGGGTCAACATGAGAACCTACCTAGTGGTAGGGAGTTCAACAAGGGACCATACGATCAACTTACAACACAAAAGCGTGGAAGTTCAACGAAGATATAATCCTCCTTCAATTGACCTGAACTTTTGGCATTAGTATGCAACCCTGCCCAGGGGTCGGAGTCCAACAAGAAACTATAAGAATCAACATGCAATACGCAAACACACAAGTTGGGTGAAAATCAATCCTCCGTGGATTAATCCAACCCTTTTTTATGGTCAATATTTGCTAAGGATAGACGTCCAACAAGTACTATAAAATAAAGTTCTAGCACATGAGTTGGTGAAGAGATCTAATCTTCCTTTGGTAGATCTAACTCTGTTGAGATTGTCAGAAGACCCTACTCCCTAGCAAGTATGTGAGTGTGAAAATACATGGTAGAGATGGATATGAATTAACACGAGGTCTCGAGAATTCATTATGTAAGTCACCCCTAAATTGTAAGATCCTTCAAAAGAAATAAGGTTCACTCGAGATTCCCTTTTAACTACCACCATTCCCTAGGCATCAACACGAACATCCCCTAGAAGTTGCAATTTATAAGGGGCCTTGAACAAACAGTATTGTATGAAGTTGTTTAACTAAATTCAAAAACATACCTCATGATGTTGTTGACATTCCTTTATGAAGAAGGGAGCATCCTTGTGGACAACTTGCGACACGAAAGAGTGTAAATTTATTGCATATTAAACCATTATGGGATTGACATCACCTTTTAGGGTTTATATGAGGTCACGTATAGGC